TCCAAACGAAAAGTCACGTCCCATCTACCCCTATTTAGTATTAAAACTCCATTCAAAGGATCAAATCTTACGCTAAAAAGAGAAGTATGAGGGATATTTTCCCGTGCAAAAAAACCGATATTTTCATCGAACTCACTCGATGAAAACATCACATCGAAGCACTCGGGAGGGCGGGACGGAATATTTGGTTAGAGGTTGGTGTGTAACAGGTGGCCCAAGCTCCAGCTGTGAGTTAATCATTTTGTATAATCACCGGCAGTTTATCTATTTTAACGTTTTGCTACTCTTACTCCTACTCGCTAAATTGGCCTCTCAGGAATAGGAAACCTAGAAATAAATAACTCGTTAAATTTGCCTCTTTTCAAAAAAGTAAACGTCCTGGTGTATTTTTTATTGATAATTTGACTGTGTTTTTTTACCTTCTTAGAGCGGTTGCAAATATTCCCCGTGCGTCATGACTGAGAGACAGATATTTTCCCGTCCTTCATTTAATACGTAGTTTATCATAAGACCACTAAATGTAAACGTCCTTTATATCTTCGGGTCAGATCATAATGAAACTTTTCGCGTTTCTCATATCAAACTCATGTGTATTTTTTATTGATAATTTGACTGTGTTTTTTTACCTTCTTAGAGCGGTTGCAAATATTCCCCGTGCGTCATGACTGAGAGACAGATATTTTCCCGTCCGGCCCAACCAAATTCATTTAATACGTAGTTTATCATAAGACCACTAAATGTTGAAAATTTCGAAATTTTGTTTCAAACGATAAACAGGCGTACATAAAAAAAAAACCTCATAAAAGGACTCCTCCTTTATATCTTCGGGTCAGATCATAATGAAACTTTTCGCGTTTCTGTTTCCTTGAAGATTAAATCCTCAATCAGAATTCACCTTTTCGGAAAAAAAATTTGAAAGTTGTTGGCAAGTTCTCCGTTTAGATATCTTTGGTCGCAATTACGATGGAGGGAATTTGACGCTGGGAGACTCACGCTATGGAGAGGCCACAGGCAGACCACACTTAGCAATAACCTGTGAGGGTAACGAATGTGGAAGCGATCCTCGCAGTTATGAACACTACTTAAGTCGTAGTGAAAATAAGGGCTAAAAAATTGAAAATTTGTCCATAAATTACAAATAAAGAACCAAGTCTTAAATTTTACAAATTTTACTCCCGGTCTGCAGTATACTTTTTATACTAAATGATCACAAATTCGTCGCTTAACGTTTCGTTTAACTTTATTGAGATACTTAGACCGAAATGTAATTCGGATATGCAATTTTCGGGGCTTTATTCATAACCCTCGTCAGGAGCCCATCAGTTGGAGCCTTCAACTGCTCGGTTTTTTGTCACAGCGTTTTCACAGACAAGTCTATTTTTAGCTTGAATTTACCGCGAACTAGGAATCCTCACGAGTTAGACAAGCTCGAAGAGGCCGTGTATTCGACGGGAAAAACCGAGTTTTCAGTTTTTTTGAAAACCTCGCTCAAATAAACCGCAACAAAAAGTAATGCTTCCGACTCACCCTCTGACTGCGGGGTGTTATTAAACTGTAGATTAGCAGACTGCGGATCAGCAGGCTGCGGAACCTCCGAAACTTCCCAAACCTATACTTTTTTGTAAAAAAATAGAAATGAAATAAAATATAAAACTAAAAAGACCTGAACACTGTTTGAAAGTTCGTTTTCGGGTATGAAGAAGATTACTTTGCAGGAAAAACATGTTTTAATTGCCCTTGATGTCCAACTTGAGCTGTGGCGACATTCACCGTACAAGGGTATGAAATGTCATAAGGAGCAATCAGCAGTCACCTACCCCGAGTGTTTATCATTAAAGCTCTAACGGTTTGAGTACCGCGATATCCGAGTAACGCCTCTTCCAAAGGCTCTCAGCAAATCTTTAAGCTGGAATTGACGGAATTTAAATCCGTTTCATTGTACATGACGCTGGAATGAGAAACACGAGCGTAAAGTTACATCATCGCCTATGATACATTGTCATCGCCAAACTTATTGTCATCTCGTTTTCTGTGTACATCGTTTACGCATTAATCATAACTATTACAATTGTGACTGGTGCAGTAGCTGCTTTATTTTTCACTAATCATTCTGTAGAGTTGTAATCGGACAGTTAAAGCAGCCAATCATACTCAGTCCTTTCTGTCAAATCCATCAATCACAGAGTTGATCACAATAACCATAGCAACAACCACTTATCCTAAAAAAGTTGTGGAATTTCTATTGCATATATTTGTCCTAAATGTATTTGTTGTTTTCGGAAATTGTAACAGTTATGATTAATTGGTAACAGGACTTTGTGCCGTCCAATTCTGTCTGTCATCATTCTCGTGATTGACAAATGGGACTCCCGCTTCGCGGTTGTCCGATTTTGTTAATGACTCGTATGATTGCAGAGCGAATTGGACTCCACTCGGTCCTATTACCATTATTAATTACATGCGAGTGTTTTTACGCTTCATTCGTTGTGATCGTGTACTTGTGGTTGATGTTTGTGTGATGATACGTGATTTTGTCGAGTAATTTGTCAGGTTTTGTGTTTAAATTGAGTTCTGTGGATCAATTTTTATGTCCACGTTTCAAGAAGCAGCGTCGTCGTTTTTTGCCTGTAAAGTTATGCACCGTTCAGGTAAATATTTTTCTTTATTGTGAGTTTATTTGCAGGTTTTCGTTCTCCAATATGTATTTTCCTACTCATGTTTAGTACCGTAGGTGTTTGGATGTTTCTAAATAAATGATGAGAACAATATTACGCGTGACTATTGTGGAATTACGATATTACGCTGTAGAATTTCGGGGTAATCAGGGCGTCTGGACTCGCGAATTCACAGCGTTTTGCCTCCAATGGATACGTTTGGTTGGCGTCCCTCAGAGACATATCTTGGAAAGGATTACTTAGAGGGCTGGGCAGATGAACTAAAACTCAGCTAAATTTCCCTAAATAAGCCAAAGAGATTCACACGATGCAAAAGAACAACCACTTGAGTGGGGTAAATTTATCCTTATTCAAAACTATTCCAGATCTTTTAACTCTTTAATCCTTAAGAGTGATTAGTAACTTTTACTAATGTCAAATCACTCAAGTCGACACACCTGGCAATTTTATACGCCAATCGCGATGATGGCGAAAATTGTCAGGTGTGCCCAGAGAAGCGATGGCGATTTTTGCCAATCGCTGCGACCGGCGTATAAATCGCCGATGGCATGTCAGATATCGACGATTTCATACGATCAAATTTGCCGTGCGTCACCGGCTTGACAGTCCAAGCTAGGTCAATAATGGACTTATTGCACATTGGCAAAAAGATTAGGCTTTAATAAGAATCAAGAATAACTCGTTTATTTCGAGAGCTGGGAAAGAAAACCAACTGTGTTTCTAGTTCAATAAACTCTCAGTTTATATTATCTTGTTCTTACTGAATGCCGCTTGTCACTGAATACTTCTCACTGACAATAAATACTTCTCACCAAAGGAATTTATGATTCTTTTTTTTCACAGAGTACTTCTCACTGAATACCTATCAATGACTTCTCACTGACTTGTACCGCTAAAACAAGATATTTCGTGTGGGTCCAAAGTAAGGTCAGTAGACAAATTAAGCACTTCCACTCATGGATGTTAGACAAGACAGCCATAATTCGGAAACCTATTACCACAGGTTAACCTAAATGTCTTCGACCTTTGAATTCATATAGTAACTATATACTTAGTAGCGAATGACGACGTTTTTTTTTAATTTTTATTTCTTTTTATGCGACAAAGCCGTATGAGTTCGTCGCCAGACGACTTTTTCCAGACCAGCTCACGTCAACCAGTCCGCCCTAACACACTTCGGTTTTAACTACGGTTTTTTAAAGAGAGTCTCGATGGGGCTTTTACAGCCCGCGATTAAAAGCGGGGCCTGGTGATTATGGCTCTGCGTTATGGCTCGAGCAGGGGTGGTTCCTCTTGCTTTTCTCGTGTATTTAAAGAGTTTCAAATGAAAATCACATATTATTTTCGTTTTTCGTTTTTCTTCTATATAAAGGTCAGGAAAATAAAGAAGTTGTTCCAACAAAAGAAGCTATTAATTGTTAGACAAATTCTCCATGTCAGCATCTTAGGAAATGTTTAAAGAACAGTTTGGAGAATATCCATACTGATTTTAGGGAGTAGAGGGTTAGGGAAGTTATTGATAAAGCATTGACCTTTGGTTTAATGTGTCGTAGAATTCGGAAACGAAAAATAAACCTTATTTGTTAACTTTTGTGAGGACTTCGTTATCATAAATTCGCATGATATTCTGCTATTACTTGTCTAAAATAGGGTTTTCCTTTTTTACAAAAGTTCACCGGAAGTGGTATCTTAAATAATCTCTGAATTTAATACCAGAACGCGGACGATTGGAACAAACCTCGGCTAAACCGGAAAACCCAAATGAAACGCCTTGTAAGGGTTTCCGATCGGGATAGTGAAAAGAGAGGATTTAAAAAAACAAAAAGTTAATATCTTGTTGAGATCACGCGCTATCCAGATGATCAAACTGAATTTCCGAAAGCGGTTGCCAGGTCAAGGTGAGGGCAGATTGTTTTTTTAGCCAATATTTAGAGGTGCTTATAAGCTTAGGCTTTCATTGAGATTAGTGAAATTGTTGACGAAGAGCTCCTTTTGTTAGCGTTTCATATTAAAAGTGACGATTAAAACATGTTTGGACCTGGATCGTTCCATTTTTTTTTTTTTTAATTAATGACTTGGAAATCACGTTACGAGACAACCAGAGACTATTTACAGTTCAGAAAAGATAAGTAAAATGGTTCGCCAATTTACTCAAAGTACGAAAAGAAAAATTCCCTGCAGATTGTTCATCCTTTTTGTAATGACGGTGGACATTCGTGACACGTCTGCGGAAGGTGTGATACTAAATAAACAGCGGGTAAATCAAACGCTTGAATGATCCTGTAATTAAAGGTACCGACACATTTTTTATTAGCCAGAATACGAAGTGGATTTCATTCAGCGCTTGTGAATTTGGCGCCGTCTCAGAAATTAGCTCGGTTCTCTAACCAGTTTACAGCTATTCCATGATGTGCTACGCAACACTCCTTTGTTATGTGAGTAACCGTTCGTGACAATCCCGAGAAGCCTTTTACCGGTTCGTGAGATCTGTCGTGTGTGTGTGTGTGGGGGGGGGGAGAGGAGACAAAGGAAACGGTTCTAAAGAATTTTCTGATCAATAGCGATAAATTCATTGAGCAGGTCATATTGTTGCGTTTTAAAACAAGTCTCTCAGTTGTCTCAATGTGTTTCTCGACGATACCGTTTACTTTTCCTGCTCAGGGTTTAACTTGGGACGATAAAAAGGCTAATCTCATTTACAAAAATCGTTCTGAACGAGAAGGTAAGCAGGTAGAGAACAATATATTTTTAATCTCCTTAATTAACTTCATGGTCCCAATGCAAAGAGTGGCGAATGGACGATGGTAGGCAAATGGGAAGATCTTAAAGAGGGAGGCGTCAATAAATATTTCCATTTCCGCTTGAGTTGAGGGATGGTACGGCTACACGTGAGCAATCTTTGTTAAAAGTCATTCAATCGAAACCAGACATAATCCGTAAAGAGAAGTTTACATCGGTTGCATTGGAGACCTAACAGAGATGGTATAATGGCGCACCTTCTGTGCTCTCCGTGGTAGTAGGCAATGGGAAGATCTTAAAGAGGGAGGCGTCATCAACTTTTGAAAAATCATTACGAGCTAAAATATCAAAAAGGGAATGTCACGGAGAGCACATTGAAAAAAAGTAAAACAAATGTCAAAACAAAAAAAGTAAACAAACGTCCCTGGTGCTGACAAGGAGAAGTTGCTTCTCAATCATGCGCTTCTTTAGTTAATGATAATTCCTTATTAGGACATAGCGCGCGTGCTTGCCCTTTATAAGTCCTATTGAGCCGCTATGAACAAAATCTTATTTGCGCACGGGCGTGCGTAAATAAAGATTTTATTCATAGCGGCTCAAGGGACGTTTGTTTACTTTTTTTTTTATGCGTTGTGAGAATTTTCAATAAAGGCTTATTCGCGCAGATCCTTGTTGTCACTCTATCATAAAAGAATTTGCTCATACTTTTAGCTGTGCGTATATCGAGTTATGGATACACATGGAAGGTTTGGAGAGCACTCAAAAAGCCTTACTCTTATGCATTTTTCGTGCTCTCCAAACTCTCCGCGTGCATCTATACGCTAAGCATGAACAAATTCTTAAACTGATAATATACATGGAAAAATTACTCAGTTCTGATTGATTAAGATAAATGCAGTTTTCAGGTAATTCAGTGCAGAAGAGAGTTAATTCAGTGCAGAAGAGGGTTAATTCAGTGCAAAGAAAGAAACAAATCAGACATTCTGATTGGTCAATAATCAAAGAAACTTGCAGATAGCCAATCAAATGCGAGCCTTGGATGTCGCAACAAAATTTGAAAATTTGCGAGCGAAACAATGGTCGGCGTTTTAAGTAGGTTTTCTTTCGCCACCGCAGCTGAAAAAAGCTTAAACAACGAAAACATTGTAAAAAGCACTGCTTTTTGGTTTTCCATTTAGAAAAAGTGGTGTTTAGAGAAGGGGATTGCCGAGGAAATCGAAAATTACGAGCCGACCTAGCTTAACACTTTGCTCGAGCGATCCAACGCCGAAATTTAAAACAAACATGGTTAAACCTCGGAAACGACGATTCCATTTCATCGAAAGTGATTCGGACACAGACTGAATAATTCCTTGAACTGTTTAGCCGGACTTTGAACTATTTTGCACTTTAAAGATGTGAAGATATCATATTATTGTTTTGATCGTACGCACGGTTTGAATAAATTATTTTTTGCACTTGGTGCGCGCGCTTTGCTTATGTTTAATTATGATAGACCATCTCGTATTTTTCCATGTTTATTATTAACACGTAATCACATGATTTTTCTCGTGCAATTTGGAATAAACAATTTATTCAAAGACCTCAAATTGCACTCGCCCTACGGGCTCGTGCAATTTTGTTAGTCTTTGAAAAAATTTACTCATGCTTATTTATTCCAAATTGCACTCGAAATCATGTGATTACCTATACAAATATATGTCATTTGCCGGTTGCATCCCACAATGCCTTGCTATCCTTGATTTGTTTTTTTATCCGGCAACAACCATTAACCTTAGTGCGCTTGCGATTTTTTACAGACGGCTTGCGATGGTAACGTCACGTGAGTTTGATTTCCTATTTAACTTTAAATCTTAGTTAACTAAACCTGATCTTTAAGACCAAAAATGTGCCGTGAATGTTCAAACTTGTCTGCTTTTTAAACAACGTAATAATTGACGCACTCGACTTTCCGCGTTTGTTGAAGATCTTGCCAGATAATATTTATTTAATAGTGGTCGAAAAAGAGCATTTCAATACTCAAAGGGTATTTAACCTCGAAAAAACGAGAAAATGATGGAACAGGCGATCTTTCCTTTAGCCTTATTTTACACCAGTTTCGATTCAAGACTGAAATATGGAAAAGAGCAGCGTGTTGAGCATCGTTCCATGCAGACACGAATTTAAATAATTGTCCGAAAGATTGACGGTCAGTGTAAAACGTAGACTGCCGACTGCAGATTGCAGACTGCCGACTACAGATTGCAGACTTCAGACCGGAGTGAAGTGCAGACGGAGGGTAAAATTCAGACTGCAGACCAGGAGCAGAATGCATACTCGGTTCTTTAGTTGAAATTTATGGACATTTACATATATATATGCATATTTGCCTCAGGGCCCAGTTGTATAAACGCTATCCAACAGATAAATTGCTATCCAGCCGATAAGTGATAACAAAACATGTAGCGTTATCCACTGGATAGAGATTTATCCAGTGGATAGTGTTATCTGATCTTCTGAACTGGGACCATGTTGATACTGAAGTGAAACACTTAGTGGAATAAGAAAGGCAAACACCTGCCGATATCTCTTTTGCGGATACATGAGAAAAGTGTTAGCCACTGTACACACAGGGTAAAAAAGCTGACGTTTTTTTTGATATTTTCGTCAGAGCGATTAGATTGATCTAATCGCTTTTCTGACGAACACTGCTATTCACGTGTTCTGTATCCAATAACTGTGGATATGGGTTTGCCTTCTTTCATAAGTATTACGAAAACAGAAAAATGTTTTGGACTTCATAGATTCTATGGAGGAATTGATCTAATCGCTCTGACGAAGGGCTAACGCTCAAAACGTCAGCTTTTTTACCCTTTACAGTGGCTAATTTACGTTTTCAACCCAGTTGTTAACACTAAATTACCTGCTATACTCTCCCACCGACACAGCACCACAGTTTCTTTAGAAACTTACCCCTTTATTCACCTGCCGATATTGTTTGGAGGTTTTTAATTATACCCTTATCTGACTGTTATCTCACACCAAAAATTTGCATTGAATTTAAAGAATTTGCACGCCTAACTTTGAGAAAGCAGGTTGTTTTAGAGCAGAGTCTGCATTTTACCCCTAGTCTGCAGTCTTCAGTCTGCATTTTGCCACTGCTCTGCCGTCTGCAGTCTGCATTTTACACTGGCCGGAAAAAATTGACCTTTGGCACTTTTCATCCCATTGGACAAATCATGAAACAGAATACCTCTCTGATAAATTTTGTGGCCCTTAGCAACTAATGAGTGAATACCAGGTGACTACATTTAAGAAGACAGTGAAATCAATTTTTTGTGGGTGTGGTAATTTACGGCAGAAGTATATGTTAATGACGCATGAAACTTTCTCCCTGATTTCACAAGCTTTGAGCCAAAAATCATGAAGTTTTCACTCTATTATTATTATTTCTTGAAGTCACTGAAAAGTCAAAGTATAGGTATTGAAGAAAGTAGCAAAAGTTCCAAACAAACCCATACATATGCAGACAGATCGACCTTAAACAGTTCTTTGTTAAAAGAAATCAATGGTGAACAGACTAGTCAGCTTTGAGGCTTTGCTAAAAAAATTGTCAGAAACAAATTTAAAGTCAACAATGGGAAATAAAACATAAATTAAGTTAGTTGCATGTCATAAAACTTTGGCATATTTCATCTTCTCCTGTTTTCCCATAACATCATTTTTTTTGCATTTTTGGATGTCTATGGCTTGCAATTAGCTCTTAGATATTGTTTCTGTGTGTCTATCTTAATTGACAAAGATAATATAGGCATTTTCTGCCCAATTCTGGCTCAGACACCTCTAAAAAAGTATAGAATATAATCATGGGACCAGGAATGAGGACAAATACCAACCCTCAGCTAGTGATTACAAGGCCCCTAACAATGATGCTAATTTCCAAAAGGCTGTTTGTCTTATTGTGGATAATTCATTATTTATTCTTGTTTAGAAATAAACTCCAGAAAAACAGCTTGGAAGACACATACTCCTTGAAAAATAAGAATCAGAAACAAAATGTGGCGATTTGCAGTGCTTAGGTCCTTTAGGCATCACTTTTTACCATCAAAGACAAAGGAGGTTCTACCCAAACCGTTCCTCTACAACAGGTGAGAAAATAAGATATTGAAAGACAAATTATGTATTTATTTCTCTGAGAATTTACTTGAAATGTCACATAGAAATAGTAAACCTTTTAACATTAGTTTTTTACTTGTAGATTTAATTCCTTCAATCAAATTCAAAAGGAACTTAGTTTATTCCATAGTTGTGTTTTATTTGTAAAAAGTTAAGGATGTATGCAAGCCTCTTTATGCCTTCTTTAGGCTCTAGCTCCAAATATGGTGGGAAAATGAACTATTTTGGTCAGAAATAGATAAAGGGTTTTTAAGAAGGGTGCCCTACTAGAATTTGGTCAGGAATACTCTTTCCCTTTTGGTTCAGTTCAGTGGTACAAAAATAAAAGGAGAGCATGAGAGAGTGATTTTGATTCATATCTTGTGTTTTTTTGGGGGGAAAAATGTAGTTTATGTTAAAATTAAAGTCTGTTTTTGAAATAAGAGTGTATTTGAGTCAGTTCTGTTGGTTTTTAGTCCAGTACAAGGTTTATCATTCAAGGACAAGGGTTCCCATGGTTTGACAGTGTGTCTTTGTTTCAATGCAAGGGGCCTTGTTTGAATAAAGAGTAACCCTTTAACTCCTAGAAGTGATTAGCATGTAACTTCTCCCTACAACATCTATACATTGTTCAGCAAACAGGTGATGAGAAACCTTAAACTTGTGAGGTCGCAGTTGTCACCTTGATGGAATACCAAATTCTTGTAACTAACTTACAAAGAAATGTGTTTCAGCCAGAGGGGAGAGTTAAGAATACAATCTTGGAAGTTAATGGTTTAAAATCATGCAATATGACTTGAGTCTCAGGTTATGCCCAGTTTAATCCATTTGACTTCCATGATCGCATTTTATGAACTATAAAAACAATTATTTGACAGAAAACTCCCACATTGCCACTTTCAAGGAAGTAGTTCTGTACAAATGGTGTATAGATTTAACTGCAGTTTGCTATAATACTAGGAGCAGAAGGGGTGGAAAAGAGGGTTTTAGGGATAAACCTAATCTGCTAGTGAGGAATTTACCTATTTTGATGGTTATCAGTGTCAACAATTTTGTCACTGATTGTTTCCTTTTAGTTAGCTTAGTTGACAGTTTCATGGCTGTTTTGTTTAATTTATGAGGAGTTCATAACCATCTTCCCTGAATCAGAACAAGGTTTCAAGATATCATTTATTCCTCCCAGTCATGACTCCAACACTTGTCCAAGGGTTCGTCACCTAGCATCTGACTCAGCATTACCTAAAGAAGCTCAAGTGGTGATTTGTGGAGGAGGGGTGGTTGGTTGTTCAGTTGCCTACCACCTTGCCAAACTGGGATGGAAAGATGTCCTTCTTTTGGAGCAAGGAACGTAAGTAACACTATATAGTGATTGAAATGAAGCTTGACTTTTTCATGTAGGTAGCCTGCAATGACTGGCATTCCATCCCTGGGGAGTAGCAATACTCCTAGTTGCCTTTTGCCACAGGAATTGGATACACTCTGGCTGGATGGACCCTCCTGGCTTGAGTGCAAACTTACATTGTCTCTAAAAAAAAAAGGCAAACTTGGTAACTTTTCCTTCAATTTAAGCAAAATGTGGGTCCTCTTTCAAACTTTGGTTGATTTTTTTGTGCCCTTTTTCATGTTTGATTTTGGATTATGTGCATGGACAAATATCTCAATCACTTTTTTCATAAGCAGCTGCCAATGCTTTAATAGAAGGCTGTGCAAAGACCAGGGGCTGTAGGGCAAGACCCAAACACAAGAGCCTGCACACAGGCTAAACAGACAGCAGTAAGAGGTTTTAAATACTGTAATAGACTGCCGGTAAAAGGCTTCTTTTGACTCTTGTGCATCATCCAGATTTGGAACTTTCAATTTTGGGAGGAGATAAACTGAAGTAGTTTATTAAGAAGTGCTTATTGGAATGTAATCCAAAATCACATGTCTTAAGAATTGAGATTTCTAAAGTTTTGATCTCTTAAACTGCATTATCTCTTTGACATTCTTCACCAGACTGAATTGTGGAACCACTTGGCATGCGGCTGGTTTAGTGGGAAAACTTCGCTCCACATCAATTGAGAGTAAACTCCTTAGTTACTCTGTTGAACTCTACAGTAGCCTGGAAGAGGAAACTGGTCTGGGCACAGGTGAGATACAGACTGATAAACTTGTCTCTTAGTTTACAGATTTCTTGTCTTTGTTGTTGTGAAAGTCTCTGGAACAATCTACCCTTGCATGTCAGTGAGGCCCCAATCCCAAGAATTAAATTGTTAGGCTTAACAAACTTAAGCTGAGCCATGGCAAGTATTGTTGAAATTCTTGTGCTATAAATTAAATTGTTGTAGCTGATAATAAGGATATGAATATGAAAGCAATCTTTGCAGTAATGAAAACTACTTAAGCAGTAGTGAAAATAAGGCCTGAAAAGATTCAGGCCTGTTTGGAATTTGAACCTGTGACCTCTGCAATAACAGTGCAGTGCTCTACCAAATGCGCTCTACTGCTTAAGTAATGTTCATTACTGCCAGATGGCTTTTATATTCATTTCTTAAACTGCAGTTGACATAATTATATAATTTTCATTTATTCACAGTCATTTATCATCAGTTCTTAGTTTTTCATGTTCTTAACCATTCAAACCCTAAGAATGACCAGCATCTCATTTCTCCTTACAGTAAAACTGCTGAATCATTCACTAAGATCATGAGAATGAAGGAAATGGTTACCAACTTAAGAAGCTTTGATCTTCAAATGAATTCTATTTGTCAGTATCAAAAGAAACATATAGAATAGAATATGGATACTGATATTAGGGTGTAAAGGGTTAAATTATGATCTAATTAAATATCATAACAAGCCTTCTTTTGTCATGTTTAAAAAAAATTTCAGTTTTATTCTGTTTCAGTTCAGACTTTCAACCAGGTTTTTCTAGTACACTATCAAAGTCAATGTCACAAAAATTCAGATAGCACACAGTTTGGAAAACATAAATTCAGCATAAACAGTACAGTTTCCTTTTTGTTTCTGTTGTTGAGTTAGGCCATGGAAACATTTACTAGTGAGTCTTGAGTAACTGGATTCTGATTGGTCCTCCCTGTGATTGAAGTCATAAGAGACATGTTACTGTTTCTTGTTTTTAATTGTTTTAGGTTTTAAACGATGTGGTGGGTTGGCCTTGGCACAAACAGAGGAGCGTTTGACTTTTTTAAAAAAGAGGCAGTCCATTGCAAGGTATTGTTGGTATTTTCAATCACATAACTAGTAAATTTGTCTTATTTAATTCAATTGTGTAAATGTGTTTCCTCTTCACATTGCGTATGCTTATGGCATCAGCAAACAAATACCTTGACAAAAAATTTTCTCATGGATTGATTCCCTTTTTTATGTCCAAAAACAAATTAAATGTTCATTTGAAAGTTAACGTTAACCCAGTAACATAGAAATAAGCTTTTAACAAGATTGACTTCATGCAACCATTCCCATTCAAAAAGAAGGAGAATATGTTCACAGAAAGGTAACTTTAATGTGGCAGCAAGTGAACCAGCTACAGAAGAGATATCAATTTACTTTGGCCTGTCATATTCTATAACAGTGAAAAACTTATTGCCATAAGTAATAGATCATGCCACTATTGACTTATCATTTTTCTTGCTGAAGAACTTTGAATGTTGACTGTGAAATATTGTCAAGAAAAGAAATACAGAACCTAATCCCACTGGAAATGAAGTTGGATGATGTGCTGGTAAGTTACAACATTTTACTCTTGCTTATCAACCTTCATGCAGAAAAAATTAATGTCTGTCAACAATTTGTCACAGATTGACTTTTGATTGTCTGAAAAGTGTATATTTTAAAAAACACAAACCTCAGATCTAAACAGGATAGACCACAAGCTATAGTTACTCTTATATACAATCAAATCATGGTTTTGCCATGCACCTCCAGTCTCAGCATGGTTGCAAATCAAAATATTTAACAATGAGCATGCAATATAATGGTTATTAATTATGATTTGTTGGTGGCGTTAGATTTTTTTTTAATTAATCCTGTTTAATTACTTTTCAGGGAGGCCTTTGGATACCTAGTGAAGGTGTTGCAACATCCAGTGATGTTTGTCAGTCGTTGGCTAGAGGAGCAACTTTAAATGGTACAGAATCATGTTAGATTCAGTAACTATGGAAATAAATATGCACTGAGAAAAAGATGAAACAACTCTAAATTCTTCATTTTTAAGATTTGTTTCTGTGAATCTTGCTCAGCTGGAGGTTTAAAGAAGTAGACTGATGCTATTGATTTTAAAGTCACTTATTAAGTGTGAATGACAATTAAGACTTCAATCCAATGTTGACTAGTTTTCCTAATTATAATACTTGGTGGAACTGAAAATTTTTATATTCAGTTTAATTAATACTTAGGAGTGGAGAGAACACTGTGAGTCAAGAGTGTCTGGCTAAAAAACACAACACAATGACTCTGTCATAGCACTGACGAAGACCTCTTGACCTCAATTCCAGCATGAAAACCTTCACCACCATGTCTCCAACACAGTAGTAAAGAAATGATTTTTTTTCATTAGGAGTCAAAATTTTTGAAAAAGTTGCGGTAGAGTCCATTATTACAGATAGGAAATCTATCACTGGTGTAAAAACAAGCAATGGGACAGTCAAGTGTGAGATATTGGTCAACTGTGCTGGTCAGGTAAAGCGATGAGTAAATGATTGTCAAAAATAGCCTTCTAGGACAAAGGTACTTGTATGTTTCACAACATCTCATAATATATTTGGCTCATTAGAAAGTTGACTGTTTTGTTTGCAGAAGTTATGATTAGGTTGTCATTTAGAACTTTTGCTTTGGTTTTTTTTTTTTTTTTCTCATGTTTGTATAATTTACCCATAGTTTTCCTCTTTGATGGAAAATTAATAGAATGAAATTTCAGTGTTTGTTTTTGTGATGTAGACTGTAACTTTGCTCTCTAAAAATTAATCTAATATCAAACTGCAAGATTTTTGAACACCAAGAATATTTCTGGAATGTCATTCTTTCTAGAGGAATAACCCAAACAGACATAAAAGAAGGGGTTCTTTGGTTTTCACAGGGTGTTTTTTTTTAATTCAAGTGTGACTGGTCATATCACAGAAAATATTTTGAAAGTATTTCAGGTGTGCAGCACATAAGTCTGAATAAACCTTTTAACCCGTAAGAATGATGAGCATCTGGTTTCTCCTAAACTCTAACCCTACAACCAAGCAAACATTTAGGTCACAAGAGTAGAGGAAATAATCACCAACTAAAGAAGCTCTTGATTGTTAAACAAATTCTCCTTGTTAGCATCTTAGTAAGAGATGTGTAGAGAACAGTATGAAGAATATACATACAAAATGTTTTGGTTTACATGTAAAGGGTTAATGTAGCAAATGCTTTCTTTTTTTTCTCTCTTTGAAATGCAGTGGGCATGGGAATTAGGACAGGTAAGAGACCAGTGGATTTCTGAATCATCTTGTTTTGCTGTCACTGTATATTATGCATAGGCTATTACTCTCAACATCTGAAAGTCAATTTACCACATTGTCTACTTTACATCTGTTTTGTTTATAGCTCTGAGAATTTAGGGTTAAGTCAACCAATATCCCATAGTTGATTTTTCTCTTTCATTTTGTCACCTATCTATTAGAAAATAAGTTGATTTAGTGAGGAGAAAGTCCTCTGTGGTCACCTCTGAGTTTAGATTGGTGTTTTTTTCAAGCTCTTAAGTTGAAATTTGTTTTTCTTTTATTAAAGTGTCAAACCTTTAATCTCAAGGGTGACTAGCATCTAATTTCTTTCTATAATGTCATCCCTGAATCAAACATTTAGGTCACAAGAATAAAGGAAATTGTCACCAAACAAATTCTCCTTTTCAGAACCTAAGGGAATGTATAGGGAAAAGTATGGAGAATATGCTTATTGATGTTAGGGTGTGAAGGGTTGAGAGAGCAAATGCAAATATCATAAATATCAGAACTAACTTCCTAAATAAAGCTGAATGCACCAATAAAGCTCTGTTGTATATTAACCGTTTAACTCCCACGATCTCATTAGTAATTCTCCTTACTGTCTGTCATGTAGTTCTTGTGATGTTAATCTAGAGAATTTGGTATTGGATCAACTAATAATCCCCTAATTAATATTTTTCTTTATTCTCATCACTTTTCTGGTTGATATTGTATTGATATTGTAGGAGGAAATTCTGTCTTGGTCACTCATGGGAGTTAAAGGGTTAAATCTGAACCCACGACAGAAACCTTTCTGTCTAGTACTTGTTAAATATCTTGAAATGTGAGCAGAAAAAGAACTTCCATATGCTTGGGTCTTACTTATGACAAGCACATGTCAGAGTAGCAATTTGTCTTAAGGAGTGAGTTGATATAAATTTTCCCAAGCTTTGTGTCTCTTAAAGCTGTTTTTGGTGTCTGCCAGGTTTTTCTTAGATTCCTAGATTTTGAGGTATAAAATTATGCAATTATGATCAAAGACTCACAAATTTCTCTTTCAATCGTTAGAAATGTGCGCCTAAGGTGAATTTTCCTCTTCATTCAACGGAACACTATTACATCGTGACAAAGCCCATTGAAGGTGTGACCTCCATGTTGCCGGTGATTCGAGATCATGATAGCCAGATTTATGTACGTGAATGGAGCGGAGGGCTGATGGCTGGAGGCTTTGAATTAAATGCTCTTCCCGTCTTCCACGAAGGAATCCCTAAGGGATTTGAATATCAGCTACTCCCGGAGAACTGGGATCACTTCAGTGAGTATAACGGGAAGAAGACAATTAAAGGGATCAAAAGTTTGAAAATGAAACCTCTTTAGTATTGTTCATTTTTTACGAGCTTGGGGCAAAGAAAATAGCCCTGTCCGAATTCCTGCATTACAAATTCTTTCGGCGCTGTAACCGTGTTAAACAATTTTCACGAAGTTTACAAAACGTTTCAAAGGCTGTTATTCTCCGTTAGGACATGTTAGATCCCCGATGATAACCTCAACTGATGCGCTAACTACAAAAATATGGACTCGTATAAATTTCGCCGTCTTATCGATGCACGGTAACAAAGTGAACTCCAGACGTTATGTCTCGAAACTTAGTGAGGCTTCGAAAATCTTGACAAGTGAAACCTGTATATCACGAGCAAATGAAGAAAAGTAAAGCATGATCATCCTGGTGAGGCAAACCTTTCACAGGAAACTAATACATGCTCTCCACAACAGAGTGAATCAGGTAGCATGTAGTCTTAACTTGTTTTTTAATGGAAGCCCAGTGGATGCAACAAAATGGCGGCCGAGTACTAGAAATTCTGAGATTCTTGTTAACACTCTGAGTCAGTTTAGAAGGCTTTTGGTGGAGATGGGACTTCTGCCTCAGGTGTGTGTAATTAAAAGAGGTCGGAATCTGTGAGGACAACTCGCAGATGCCTATGTTCACTTCTTCGATCGCAGCTGTGAACTAGTGCAGGAATAACACTCGCCAACTGCTGTGAAAAATTACAAGTTTTAAGCTTAAAACTAGGTGTTGTTGTTTCTCTGGTGCATCATTTTGACACCGAAATCGAAAAAAGACACATAAAAACGTTGTAGCAAAAACAGAGAAGAAAACTTGACTCGTGACTCGAACTTGACTCAGAGTCGAACCTGATTCGTGATACGGTGCAGCTCTTCGTCCGTTGGGTGCTGTTTTGCGCCTAACAAATGGCCTAAATCTATAGATATCTCGAGCTCGTAGTTTAATCTTTGATTGGCTACATAGCTGGTGCAACTGGAATAATTGCAGAACGACTAAGTTAAGGGTGAGTCAGAGACTTAAAAATTTTGTGAAACTGTTCAAAAATTACTGTTGTACGAATAGAAATACCTCACTCTCTGCTGTGTGTTGGAGAAGCGGTACCACGATGGTTTTTACACTGGACTCCGGGTTCTAGATCAGGGCTGGTCGCAATTTGCTGTTCTTACTACGATTATCAGTCGAGCGAGATGCGAAAAATGTTCGGTCACGAGGTTTTCACCATAAAAATGACGGCGTTATCTCGGGTAACTTCCTTGTTTCCAACGGAAACGGAATCCCAACCGTCAATCATGAAAGCCCGCCAAAAGAGGTCAAACGACAAGTTGCCATTGGAAACGGAGCCAATTCCTTGTGACAACAAAAGGTTTCAAAAACTTTCGTCGCGTCTCAAACAACTGAAAATTGTTGTAAGTGTGACACGGAACTCTCACAGTGCGTCTTTCTACACAGTGGAATAACAGGTACTGGTGAATTGTTAGGGAAGTCTAAAAAATTGGCCATGAGAGGGGGTGGGTGGGGATGCAGGGAATAACTACGATAGATTAGCATCCCATCCGGGTGGGAAGGATAGCTTCACTCCCTGGAAACCGGAATATGTGGTTTGGCAGTTTGGACTGTTTGGGGTCTTGCACAAGACTCGAACTGTTTTTTTCTCCCAACTGCTCTTGTTTTAGGCGAGCTAATGGATAACATGCTTCACCGTTTCCCGTCCATGGAGAAGGCCGAAATTCGTCAAATGATCAATGGTCCAGAGAGCTTCACTCCGGATGGACGATACTTGTTGGGGGAAGTACCTGAGGTAGGTTTGGAATCAAATGAACACAGATCATGTTTAGCTGGTACGCACGATCGTCTATTACAGGTTTTTAGGAACAGAGTAAGATGGAAATTACTATGATCGGATTTAAATAAAAAAGGAAGCTTTTGTACAGGAATTCCAAAGGGGCAGTCGTTTCCACCAGACTCCAGTGTGCATTTTTAGTCTCTTAAACACATTTTTTCATGTTTTTGAAGAGCGAATTTTGTTCCTAATTAGAATAAAATCGTCTCTCGTGGAAAGATCTGGTCTTTGATACACTCCTCCAACAAGCAATCAACTTCCGGTTGCCTGCCGTAACTGGCGTTATACCGTGTAAGGTTTTCTTTGGAAGGGTGTTTGGAGTATTCAGACACATGAATGCTCGCATTTCCGCAGTAAGAGTCTGCATCGATGGGGTTACTTTCATAAATTTCGTTGATTCTTGATGCTTTGGTTTACATCTATTCTGTAGGTTTCGAAAGGTGAGAGGTTATTATCAGCTTAAAGAAGTCAAGCTTGACCCTTTTTTGCTGTTAGTAACCCTTTTCACTCCGAAGATCTAAATCGCACTTCTCCCAACTTTGTGCCACGCATTTCTAATAGTTTTAACCCGGAGAATTTCATGTTAAATCAAGGATCATTCCCTCGTTAACATTTCTCTCCTTCCCGTCTCCTTTCCGTTTGAAACCTTATCGATTTGGTGGGAAGAAGTTTCCATTTGGTCACTGGGAGTAATAAAGTCAATTGCTGTCTATTGAGAACACTTTTTTTTATTAAGGTACGCAATTTCTATGTGGCTGCTGGCTTTAATTCTAGTGGTATTGCTGGCGCGGGAGGAGCTGGGATGGCCCTTGCCGGTTGGATCACTGAAGGGGAACCTACAATGGATCTTTCAGGTGTAGACATACGTCGTTTTGCTCCTCACCACAACAACAAACGCTTCTTAAGAGAGTGCGTGAAAGAGACCCTCGCCTGGCACTACTTGCTACGATACCCATATTCAGAGAGAAAGGCTGCGCGCGGGCTCAGATGTTCGCCATTGTTCCCAGAGCTAAACGCCGCCGGTGCATCATGGAGTGAGAAGATGGGGTGGGAGGTTCCCAAGTGGTTTGCACTTCCGGGAGAAGGTAACGTAATTTTAAGCTAGTCTGCGTAGGTGGCGCTTTTGTGTGTGCTATGAAGCGACAATAGGCGAATTACTGTATCTGGTCCCAATTCTCTCGCGGCATCGAAGCTTGACGTTTCAATGCGCCGAGTCTTGCCGATTGACTCGAGGTAACAAAACAAAAACCAAGCGGAAATGCTAATGCTACTTTTACCTGACAGACACTTTCTTTTTCATACTCGCCGCAATTCACTCTTATTTCAACTTTTGTCTTTTGTGCCGTGAGCGCTTGATGGCGAGAACTTGCGTAGCTGGTGGTTTCGAGTGCACTTCGAAGCGTTGAACCGAACCGCGAAACTCAGCTGCGAGGCTTGGGACCGAATAAAATTGGGAGGAAAACAACCTCTCGCTGCTCCGCCGCCTAACACTGCACAAAAATGCGAGCTACAAACATTTGTTAGTTGTGGGTGAACCTCTAGCCTACGTGTAGGCGTACCCCCCCCCCCCTCCCCCCAGGTGAAACGGAGGCGAGGTAAAAAAATATCGTAAAAAAATTATCAAATGGCATTATTTGCATAAATTCGAATAGCGTCACGGAACACGATTAATGCCATGGTTTGCGTAGACGTTCTATCGCTTCCGTTTCACCTGGGGGGGGGAGGGTACGCCTACACGTAGGCTAGAGGTTCATGATTTCTTTGGATGTGCTTTGAACGCTTCCTTGAATAACCCAACCTACTTCTTTAAGTAGTCAGGTTGTATGCAGCACTGAATTTTGTTTGTTTTTACCTAGACCAACCCAGTGAGAATGGGTTTGGCAAGCCCGGCTGGCTAAGCTGTACAGAAGTGGAGTACAAATCTTGTACCGAGGGGGTAGCTGTGGTGGACTTAACTGCTCTTGGTCTGTTTGAAATTGAGGTACAAGCTTTGGCTTCTAATTTATACGCGCAGTATCACCATTGGATTTAATAACCATGATAATAACGGAAATGATCATCAGTTTAAGGAGTTCGTGATTTTCAGATAAATTCTCCTTGTCCATTACCATAGAAAATGTAGAAAGAACCGTATGGAGAATATGAATGTTGATGTTAGGGAGTATGGGGTTAAGTGGTAACACTTAATGTGTATTTGTGTTTTTAGTCTAGTGCGGATGGCGAGGTGGAGCATTTCCTTCAGCTTTTGTGTTCTAATGATGTGGCTATACCAGTCGGTTGCTCTGTGCGTACTCTGATACTGAACAAACGCGGGGGAATAGAGCTGAGCTGCACTGTTATACGAGAAGCACAAAATAGGTGGGCCTTTTTTTTCAACCATTATTGCAGGAGGTTCGACTCAAATTCTAAGAAGTATATGGCAGTCTGCGGCCTTCCTTACATCTAGGCAGTTTGGAAAGCCGCAAAACTCTCAAACAGAATTTAACTTTCAAATGGGCACTCCATTCAAATAATTTATTATTGTTTTTCGCCTTACCGTGTTCCCACCAAGAGTGTAGCTCCAGTTTTTGGTATATAAACTACACACAAACCTCAGTTGCTCTATTCGCTCTGAAGAAGGGCTAACGCTCGAAACGTCAGCTTTTAAAACTCTCTACGGTGACCAATTTACATTATAACTCTATTGATAACCAAATTATCTTGTAAACTCCCAATCGACGCGGCACCACGGTTACTTTAAAAACTTACCCCCTTAATTACTTTTGAGCTGTCTTTTTGTCTTTTTGAAAAAGGAGTTGTGCAAGGAAACTTCTTCAAAATAGAAAGCTAATGATACTACCCTGATTAGATCCCCAATTGCCTTGAGTCATTGTATGCCTTCGTTTTTTTCTCTTTATCCTTCCATCATTGTGTGTTTCAGCCGTACTTTTCACTCTTCATCCATTTTTAAATCGCCAGATTTATAATTATGCTGGACGATGCAGAGCGAGTAACTGCTGCTCACTCAATGATTTCACATAACATCCCCTCCAACTCTGCGATCAGTCTGCGTAACATTCAGTCACAGTATGCTATTTTGGGAGTACTGGGCCCAAACTCGACTCAGCTGCTTCAAACTCTGACCCAGACCCCCTTAAAGGAGAACCTATTCCCGGCAAACATTGTAAAGGTAAGTAAAGGTACTTTAATTAGAGAATCACGTATGAAGTCATAATCCACAGGCAAGAAGGACATAATGGTATACCTGAAAACAAAACAAAACAAAACAAAACAAAACAAAACAAAACAAAACAAAAAAAACAAACAAAGCAGCAGTCACTAGACTTTGGCTGGGCACTTCTATCAACTGAACTACAAAGCCACGTGATGGGAGATGGCCATGTTTTAGTTTATTCCTTAGAGCGCGTTTCGACTGATTGTCTTCCCCTTTCTTACAGAACATGAAGTCTGTAAAAACAAGAAAGATTAAAATTAAAACAACTAGAAGAATTTTATTAGCCGACCTCCGCATTAAATTGCATTTGGATTTTTATTTTTCGCAGGAAATTGACCTAGGCTTTGCCTCAGGTGTTAAGACGTTTAAAACAAACTACTTTGGCGATCAGAAAAACGACTGGAAGCTTTTGGTACCTACTGAGGTGGGTTCCTGTATATGAAGACCTTTTGTGTGTTCAGTTAACTTTTTAGTTATCTGTGATACAGGCAACTCTTTTTTTGGTTTAGGGTTCTCAAAAATTTGCACTTGTAACCATAATCTAAAGCTTAAGCGAGCCTAGCTCTCAGTCCGTTTTCCCTCCCCTACTCCGTGCAGTAACTAATAATGAATTTTCAATTTTCCATTTTCCAACAAAGGACTCGAAGGCTCCTATTTGTATATTCTGTGAATTTGGGAATTCCTAATTTTGGCGCATGTTCATAGTAATGAGTAGGCATACGTGATGTATGCTCTGTTCTCGCCTCCGAAGGTCACATGACAGGATTCAGGGCCGCTTTGATGCAAAAGAGCGATTAAAAGTTCTCTTTATACACCTTGCGTCTCTTTATGGTTTCCGATGCATTTTACACTCATATTTAATTTTCCAAGGCTATTTACCGGGTTCCTATGGAGTATTGAATTACTGGAGAAGTTTGGATATTATTAAACTAATCTTCAAGATCCAGAAAACTATCTACGAACCCTGTTTTTGTAGTGACCTCTTTAGCACAGCACAACTATCACAAACACTGTTAAATTCTTCTCTTACGTCTTTCTATACTACAGTTTGCTGTCTCTTTGTACCGTGAAATGATGGAGGCCGGGAGAGATCTGGGCATAAGGAACGCGGGTCACTCAGTACTTGATGGCTTGCGAATTGAGAGATTGATTCCACAGATGGGAAAAGAGATGACGTCATTTGTAACTCCAAGGGAGGCTGGGGTGATGGACAGAGTGCAACTGGACAAGGTAATCATGGTAACCGTATTAATAAACCAAGCAGCTATGAAATTCCAGATTTATAATGCGCAATAATAATTATAATGCCGGGATTTGCTTTTCTCTTCTCTACGAGCGATCCGATCCGACCACAGGCTAGACGTTGTGCTAAAACTAAGGATCATTAATGAGGAAAGCTGAGCTGTTTTGTCGAATCTGGGCGCGGTCAACGTTAATTATTTAGAAGAAAAATTATAAATTATAAATTTTTAGTGCCGTTCAGCTCAACCAACCGTTTGTATTTTCCAACATATCTATTCTAGAACTGCGATTTCCTTGGAAAGCAAGCTCTTTTAGCTGATGATCAACAACCCGCAAAGAAGCATCTTGTGCAAATTGCACTCGAAGAACGCGACGATACCAACTACCCGTGGGGAGGGGAGCCGATTCTCAGAAATGGCTCTTCGGTAGGGTCCACGATAAGCGCAAGTCATAGCTTCAAACTGGATCGTCCAATGTGTTTAGGATACTTAGAAGGAGAGGGACTGGATGCCACTGTAGAAGATGGAGGCTTTGAGATTGACGTCGCTGGTGCCTTATATCCTGTTTCTGTGCAGATTTTCAACAGAGATTTGAAAGACAAGTTCGTGGAGACCTCGTAGCTCCTTTTGATCAATTCGTGTCGTGCAAAAGTCTAAATGGAAAGATTGGATCGGTGTCAGTATTTGAGAAACTGACCCAACATAAACCCTAGCTTGTTATCAGTTAACTGTTGTTAGGTAAGGGGAGGGGTAGGTGAGGCTAGGGGTGGAATAGGTACGCAGTTGCTTAGATACCGATATTGATCCGATAAATTATTAACATTCCAGGGACTTTGATTCAATTTAATTCAAATTCAATAATTCAAGTTTTATTATTATTATATTCAATTACTGTAATTTAGATATAGCACGATTTTTGTATGATGAAATATGTATTAAGCAATCGTATCCTTTTTCATAATTAATAATTGCATCTCGTATCGTACAATTCAACGGTAATCCTAGACAGAATTTCAAATTGTCCTCATTTCATGATAGGTAATAGTAGTTGTAGCAATTATTCAATTGATAATCATGCTTAATTTACTTTTTGAACCATTCACATGAGTAAAATTAAATGGCTGGATATGGGCAAAAAATATGAACCACATGAAAGGAAAAATAACATTTTTACAATTAGTTTGAAAGAGGAAGGTGATGGGTAAAAATACGAATTGAGTGAAATTGTTTATTCAAATAATATCAGCAGTTATTCCAAATAGCATAGATAATTTTCACTTGCACGCAAAGTGCCTAAACAAAATTTGTAATTAGTTCGTAATAAAGGTCATTTAATGAAATATTTCTTGTCATTTGCGTACGTTTCTTTTCTTGCGAAGGATATTTAACAACGATCCATCTCAGCTGAGGTGGCTAGTGGTGGATATTTACCAAGCTGCCAAGCGACGAGGTAAACATCCAATGCTAGCCACCTCTACTAAGACAGTCCTTTAAGGATATACAAAAACAGTGAGATGATATAGCACTAAAAGGTAATTTTAACTCATTTAATCCTGTAACGATTACAATGTTTTCGCGCGTCGCACGGAGGTAAAGAGTAAAAAATATTCGGGATTTGAGTAGCCAATCAGAGCGCGTCTTCGACCCTATTCACTGTTTTAGTACATACTAATGTGTGTTGAACATGTTTCCTTTAATTTTCTAAGACTAACGGGCAAGGAAAGCTTTGGAATTACCTCTGTATAAACGATGCAGTGTCAATTTTGAAGGTACAAAAGAACTGAGAATTTAGGATTCTAGATTCGCAAAGCCGAGAAGATTAGAATGATTGCCTAAGAGTAAAATTTGAAATCGTTACCCCGACCGTTCTCTGCATGATCTCAATTTGCTTAAAGGAGTCATTTCTACTCCTGCAGCTTTACATCCTCACAAGAGTATGAGGTTCAGGATGTATTAAGCAGTTTTTTCTTGAACCATGCGCGTTGCAATTTTTCGTCTCGTTTCTGTTGCGATTCTGTAAACTTGGCAGCTGCCTCTTTCCTTAATTGATCCTCGCGTTTCAAGGCTTCTTCGTCCTTGGCCCGTAACCATTCCTGATATTTCCGTATTGCTTCGGCCTTTCGTTCGTCGCTTTGTTCGCCCTCGGTTGGTTTTGGGCTTCTCAGGTCGTCGCTTCTTAGCTCTTCAAGCCACTCCTGATGTGTTTTGCCAGTTACCTGTCGCCACTGTGCTTCTTTCCTTTTCCTAACTGTCTCTTGTTTTGCCATTTCGGCCAATGCTGTCTGTCTTCTTATTTGCTGTGCTTCTTTATCGGTTAACCACACCTCGAATGTTTTCCGGCGATCCGACTTCGTGTTTTTAAGAAACTTCGCGAGCTTCTCGTTTTCTTCTTCGGAAGACGAATCATCGTCGGACACGTCAAACTGGTCTAACTGGCTTTTCCTGACTGTCTTCCATACGTTCCAAGGTTTGCTTTCACGGTCGTGGTAGTGTGAAAATAAAAAGTCTTGCATTTCCTTGCTCATTTTTCTGTAATTTAAAAAAAAGTTAACTAAATCAGCGAAAGCCGTTTGGTCTTTTTCATTTCACATTCAAACCCAGCTGAATTTATTTTAAAGACGTGCGGAAGTCCATTTACTTCTCTACGAGACTACTAGCGCGCATAATGGGTTGATTGACTGCCTGACTGACTGACAAACTGATTAATTGACTGTTTGATTGATTGATTACTTTTTTTGACGAACCCTCTCACAATATGATTCGCCAAAGTGACCAACTTTTCGTTTTCCTTAACTTTCCTTTGAAGGTTAACCTTAAGAATGTGGTACTCGATCCAAACATTATCCCCAACTTGATAATTACCTGAATTCTCGTAACCTGCCTCCTCGGCAGTGTATAGGTAGTGGAACGAGTATTTAAGCATCGATCAAACTTAGAAGGTAAGGATTGATCTATGAGAAACATTCTGGTTTCAATCAACATACTTAATCTGGAATACCCTATTTTTCTTTCCCATCCATCCTCCTTTTCGCCATTTGCTACATACCTCTCGCGTCTATTTTCGCCTCCACTGAGAGTCATGGCTTTTCTCCTGAGATCAGGTGAATTGTAAGTAGGAGCCAGATTAGGTCTCATTGCTGGAAGGGTTGAGGACCTTGAACGAGATACCAGAGGCGACATGGGTCGAGGAGATGATGGAGACCTGGGGTAGAGAACAGGACTTCCTGGTCTTTCTGGGTTCAGAAGTGATGGTACTAATTTGCGACGCATGCGAGGAGAATTCATGGGTGATGAAGGTGGTGTGTTAACCCTTGGAAGCTTTTCTTCGCGCTGTCTGGTTCCTGGGACAGCTTTGCCGCTCAGCGGTCGTATTTCATCTATTCGAGTAACCACATAGTTCACGGCTGAAGATCCATCGTGGGAATCAACTGATTTGCTTGCTCTCAGTGACTTATGAAGCTTTCCTTCAATATTGGACTCTCTAAATAGCCTCCTTTGGGATCCCGTTCGTACGTGAACGGAAGATCTCTCGCTTACTTCCTCGTCCTGTTGTCTTTCTTGATCAACTCGTTCTATCTCGAGTTTGGCTACAACTTCGTTCAAAGTGTCGGCAGCAGTTCCTTTTCCTGGGTTCTCTGTCACCTCGTTTTGGATGACGAGATCTTGCGGGGGACTTTCTGAGAGATCGTTCTCTCTTTCGTGTCTAATGTTGTCTTCATCTTGTTCATTGTCACGTAACTCGACAGCATCAACGTCAACATCCGAAGTTTCATCGGCAGTCGACTCAATTGCCTCAGCTTCCCGAGACTGTAATTCGACGTAATGGCCTAGCAGCTCCACCAGATCTTTCTGTTTGGTGTTCTTAGCGAAGTCCATCGGCGTAACACCTTGCTGGTCAGGTTTAGACAATAGTGGCCAGCCACCGTTCATGAAAATAACCGCTGCGCACGAGAAATTCCCACCTGCTACTGCTGCATGCAAAAGAGTGCGACCACTACATTGGACAGTACGTTGAACATCAACCTTCACATCTCCACCTAACAAGGTCTGGAACAGCTGTCCATCGCCTTTTTGAGCTGCGATGAAAGCTGCCACGAACGCTCTATCTTCGCTGGAAATCTGGTTCATCTTGATACAGATCCGTTTCAAAATCTGGCGGTTGTCAAGTTGCATACATCGGTGTACGAATCGTTCCCACCACGGAATAATACTTAGTTCGAATGTCACGGATCCGCTGGTAGCTTCTAAATCTATAAAAGTGTTGATGTCCGCCATCTTAGTTTCATCACTGAGCTTGGTAACGTTATTCTCATCTGCTCGTTTGTGTACAAGAGTAAACAAATCAGACGGAACTCCGCTATTCACTTCCACTATAATTTTCAAATCACGCACACTTGACGAGCCTTTTGTTTCAAGAGTTAAGGTTTCACCTGTTGGCAACTGGACGTTAACTTGAAAAACATCTATGGCCTCCTCTATCGACGCTCTTCCATTGCCTTCTTGTTCATCCATTTTTTTTCGCTATCCTTTAAAAATGTTTCACAGATTTTCTTTCCTTCAAGCTGACCGACGAATGCTGACTTCGCCGCTGGTTTCTTGCTCTTTAGTTCAGTGCCTTCAGTCGCTGATCAGAAACCTTTGGCGTCGTTTAACAACATCGTCTGGATATGTTACCAGCCAGGGGGTGAAAGAATCTCCCGATAATATGATACCGGACGTCCAAGATTATATTGCCGTGTCATTCAGCGCCTTTATTTAGTTTACTGTTGAAAGATGGTTCAAAGAACACTGCAATATCCACGCTGCAAAGTACTATTGACGTCTGCGTTTGTGTACGAACGTAAAAGCAGTCGCAAAGGCTCAAGAATAAAAAGATAATTGCTATGTAGAAAAAAAAAATCGTAAACCCCAAGGGGCTCTCAAGTTTGTTGTATTACTTGTGCAGTCTTTATAAAGCGATTGAAGGTACTTAGCGATAAGTGTGAAACAAACAAAGCATAGCTATCCAAGCGTAATTGTGACGTAACACACAGTATATTGGGTTCTGTTGATATGACCACTGTTGGTAAAGAAAATGATTATATATTGACCAGTTGAGTTACAAGTTTAGGGTGTAACGTCACGGCATCCTCTATATGATTAACAAAAAGGTGTAAAATAAAATATGGTGTGAGAGCGCTTTCAGCTCTGACACGAAAGGTAAAGGTCAAAATGATTTTTGAGATTTGCACTAACATTAACTTATGTACATAGCTAATGAAAGAGTTTAAACATTTCTTTGTTTTTAAGCGAAATAGAGCGATCATGGGAGTCATAACTTGATCGTATTCGTGCAAAAAGACATAGCCCTTTAGGTAGGCGGCACAAGCGTCCAATTCCGAGCCAATGCGTTTCTAGGCGGCAGGCGAAGCGAGCGGGCGAGACTGGCACTCTCTCCAAAAACCTCCTAGACTCCTCGTTTACCTCGCCAGCTCGCATCCCTCACCGGGTCAAAATCCATGGGGTTCCTCGATCGTGTTGCAGCGCTGAAAAAGAAAATAGAAGAAAGAATTACTGGGAATGCAAAATCTGTTCGCTAATGATAAAGATAAGGCATTCGTTGTGACACAAAATCACGTCGAACGAAGTGGTCGTGCAAAGATCTGCAAATTGGTTGCTCGCATACCGAGGTTTCACTTAATTATTACTAATTTTGCCAACAAAGCTATCAATATCATTCAAGAGCTTGTCGTTTATTATACTTTGCCAAAGTGATATGTGATAGTTGTCACGAAAACGTATCCTTCAAGGGGCTAGGTCACGCTGTGAGCTTGCGCACTGGGTTCTTCCAGTTTGACGCGTTAAATCGCTGTTGTTCCCGATAGTAGTCGTCAAAGAGCAGAGCGTATCACGCACAAATAAGAATGATGCGTGGTAATTGTTGAATTTACGCATAATCACGATTCTGCTAAGTATTTCTTTGGGTTTATTGGGTAATTTTTGACGATAGCTCATTATCAAGAAAATATGAACTCTTGTCAGAATGTAAACAAAACAAAAAAACAGCACATGTTGTTTCAAAGATCAATGCAAAAGGCCAATTTTTAGCAATTGCAAAGCCTCCTTAATTAATTGTGATATCTGATTACTAAATAATAGTTTCCCAAGACGTAAAAGACAAGGAAAGTACAGTTCACTGGCTCCTTGAAGTACATGATGACAAGTAAGATGACTAAAGAGAGATTGAATTTGCACGAACAATTAACTTCAGTTTACCGTGAGAATAAAAGGATGTTTCCATGGAGCAGCATCACCACTAATCTTTTGGGTTTTTTTTTTCTTTTTCCTTCGTTTAAATCTTCTTCCTTAAACTTGATGGAAATTACAAAATCATTTTTTTGGCGAGATAGAGATACGTCTAGTCATAAATAGCTCTAGTAGATAGTAACGCGGATTTAAAACTTTGTCCAAATTGTTGCTCTATTGATACTATAATTGGAAATGACTGGCCAGAAAAGACCCCACCTAGACTGTGTCCGCCTTATCTTGATGAACGTTTCAGCAAATTGGTGAAATTTCTCTATAGTTTTGAGTTGACAAATCTGGCCGATCAGTTTCGGTTCAGGGGAACCTCCTTAGTAACCGCGCCTAGTAATGCTTCCGTCATTTTTGTCCATGTTCATCAAGTCTTCTTGGTTTTTTAGCTTAAAAGATTTTTTCTCATAAAATCATCGCCTGACATTGTTATTAAACGGCTTGATAGCGAAAACTCAGAATATTTTGAGACTTAACAAATTTAGTTCAATCATTTGCTCATGGGGTGTGTGTTATTTGTTGGCAGGCGAGATTTTCATCTTAGGGGCCAGGAAAATGATGGTCGGACAGGTGTCCTCGTTGTTTTTCACGTGAATAAACAATTTTTTGAGGTAAACAACTTCTTGCGTAATGCGCGAGAGGCAAGCCACGAATGAAAAGCAAATTAAATAATTAAACTCAATATACATTGCAACGGAAAATTTTCTATAATGAAACGTACTGCCGTATTTTGACGAGCCCGTAAGGCGAGTCAAAACACGAACAACTCGTAAAAATATTCAGCGATACTACACATCAAAACGTCTAATAAGTTATTTATTATCCAGCTGCTTTTTTTATGCTAAGTCTTTCTTCTCATTTCTCAAAAGGTGGGAAAAGCACAGCGGATAGAGAAGCGTAGCGCGCGCTGCCGACTGGTTAAACAGATTTTTTTACAGTACAAAATAACCAACTGTCTAAATAACCGTAAAATATCGCAGGATATTTGTACTCTATTCGCGCGTTATTTTAACTTGGTGCAGTTGGATAATAAATATAGATATATGTATCAATTTTTTAATACATAGCGAGGATTTAAAACCTTCAACCGGAAAATAGTTATTAGTAAACGCATGAATCAATGAATCGAACACAAGGTACATCGTTCAATTTTTGTCTTTACCAATGATTTTTCCAAATATCAACCTCTTTGTGTTATGTTATTAGTCTGGAACATCAAATATATGTCCAGTATTGACCTCATTCAGTGAGTTTAAGCATCACATTAACAGCAACGGGAGAAATTAAATCTGATTTTTCTTACTTTTGCCCCAATATCTAAATCATTTTGTGTTTGATTGGATGGAAGTAGATGGCAAAGAGTGTAATATTTCATAATACTGCACACTTTCTCCTTAAATTCTCCTAATTAGACGTCACAATGTCTTCATTAGCATATTCCACCTCGAAATTACTTTACATATAAATTGTTATAAAGTCCAGTCAAATTCTACTAAAAGCTTTTGGGTGATTTGTTCTTAGTAATGTCATGACAAGCTGAGTGACAACTAAATTTCACTGAGTCAAATTGCTGGGGCAAGATTTGCTTCAATTTAATCGGCTGGATTGATATGCTTGGAGGCGTAACGCATTTTTTTCTTCAAACAAATATGAAAGTATAACATTACGAGTCAAGTAAGAAATAGCATTGGAACTGTGATTGCAGGCATACCATCCAAGTTTTACTCAATCACTTTCTATGATATGTCCTATGAACTTTTTTCTTCCCTTTCCTTCCCAGCATCTCCTCTTTCTCCAAAGCCTCTTGGTCTTTCTTCCGCAGCCATTCCTTGTACGCTTTCGCTGTCTGACTCTGGTGATTAGTATCGTCTTTTGCATGCTCATTTCTTCTCTGCGCGGAGGTTGGTCTAGACCTATCTAACGCTTCTTTGTTATCGAGCCATTCAGTGAACGTCATTCGGCAGTGCGTCCCATACCTAGCAGACTCCGGTCGCCTTTTTTCGTTCCACGCTACGCGTGTTTCTTCGCGCGTCTCACCACGTATGTCGGCGCGTTTGTCGCTCAGCTCGTCTTTATGAAGTTCTCCTTGATTTGTGTTTTCCGGCCCTAAGTTTTCATCCTTGTTAGCGTCTTGTAAGGAACTAGACCGCCTCCTGCCTGCCCTCCATTCGTTCCATGGTAAATTTTCACGAGGGCGTTCGCGCATTTTTAGTCTCGCGCGAAGTTGCGGGCTTATTTGATAGCTGAAACAAAACAAGAGATATGATTTTACAGTGAATGAATTGAGAGGTCAATGATCAAAATAAATAAGTGATATAATTTTTATTATGACATCAGACTCCTTCCCACAGAGAAAAGACTAGCTAACATGGGGACTGTCAAAAAATGTTGAGTTTCTCTTGTGGATTATCTCTCTCTTACGGAGATCCTCTATTTTCATTTTATTAAGGAGCGCGTTATGCATGATTTTGCGCGAATACGCTAGCCGAGTGCCAAGAATAACTTTGAGGTTGTTTGAATAATTAGCGTCTTACCCTTGTTCGTCAAGATCTTCTACTTGAACAGAACACCTTCTTGTCCTGGTTGGGTTAATGTGCTGTGTCGGAGCAAACGTGGTGTCTGGAACACTTTGTCTTCGCTGACTGACTGGAAGGTTTTTGACGAAGGAAATTGAAATTGGCTGAGAACCACTAGAAGTCTCTCCCTCACTTTTGGCCCTGCAAAAGATACGTTCCTCTAAAAAACGAGATTTGATAATAGGCTCCTGAGGTATACTTCTAATGAAGAATCAATCATAGAATGTCCACTCCGCTTAGCTTTACACAACTAATCTAAGCCTACTACAAGCTTGATACATTTCTGTATCAAGCTTGTAGATGATAGAATATGTTAACTTCCTCAGGCCTGTAGTTTCATGTTGTTATCTGTAAAAACGAAGTGAAACCCCCCCCCCCTTTTTTTTTGTTTTTCCTCGTTTAATCGTTTTTCTTTCTGACACTTCGCTGAAATTTCGCTATTTTGTGTTGGAACCAACCTATAATCCTCCCCTAGCCCAAAAGTAAAACGTAAGTAACCTTGGGGGTTATCATTCTTTTCTCTCGTTACTTTTAACAATAAACAATGGTTAATTCGAAATACTTTACTTGCCTGCTTCTCTCTCCGAGCATCTCCTCAGATGATGCTGAATCCTCACTACACATTGAACCTGAACGGGATCGGCCAACAGAAGGACAGGGAACCTTGAAATTGTCATTCAGAACGAATGATTTCTCATCACCCCCCACAGACCCAGAATAGTGCACCTGACTACGCTTGGGCACGTGAGTATCCCCTGGGTCCGAGCCAGTAGAAGTGCCACTGTCTTCTATTTTAATGAGAGGTAGTTTCATAGTTTTGTTTGGAACCATTGGTAGGCGTCTTCTTCTTTGCATTTTTGAGGAAGTTCTAATGTTCATCACCGTTTCGTCAACTACTTTCTGTTCGGTCTCGCTTACGTCAGATTCGTCACCACTAAGATATGACCAGTTGCTTCTTAGGTCCTTCCTGGCACGAGCTTCCAGTAAATGGCCAACATTGGAGCGTCTGTGTGTGACCCTTATCGGAACCCTTTTTTGTGATGTTCCTGTTAATGGTGGGTTTGTCGGTGCTTTCTTAGATTCCACATTTTGTTCTTTCGTTGATGCACTCTCGCCTGAATTAGCAGATGAAAAGTCTGACTCGAGAGCTCCTCCTTGGTCGACTGGAAAAACCAAGTCATTGTTTTTGCTGTCTTTATTCGTTTTTTCCTGGCCTTTGCCATGGCGAATAATTTCTATTTCTTCATGGCCGAGTTTTTCATCTCCATCGTCATCTTTCTTGTGAGAATCCAGACGCTTGATAAGATTCGGTCTTTCGGTGGCGGATCGTTTCCTTCTTTGTTCCATGAACACCTGTTTTCTGAGAAGGGCTCTCCTTGGCGTTTTTGGGGAGCAGGTTGTGTCCGTTTCGTCTCCTGACGCATTTTCTAGGGCCTGGTTTTGCCACATTTGCAGAACGTACCTGGCTGAAACAGGAGACTCCTCTCCTTGATAGTCTATAGCAGAAAAATTTTTTTCCTTCGATTCATAACCAGTGTTTTCTTTCTCCATATTTTTTATTGTGATTAATCCTTCATCCTTAAAGTCTGCATCATTTGATTTTTCTTTACATTTTAGATTACTAGAATCTTCTGTCGTGATGACCAAAGCAACTGGTCCTGTCTCGTTTGAATCCATTGCACCAGAGCCTTCCTCTTTGCCTATCTCCGAGGCGTTCTCCTGCTCAGATTCCTCTTCGCGTTTTCGGATAAGTTCCTCCAGGTTCGGTCTTCCAGCCATGGATCGACGCCTCCTCTGCTGCTCCACGATAGACTTTTTTCTCAGTTGGGCTCTTCGGAGGGGCTTCGGAGAATGAGAAGTAACGATGTTGCACTTTTCAGAAGATGTGGCCGTGGGCAAGGTAGCTTTGTCGTTCCTTGCATTGACGACCTCGCTCTCCGTGTTCGCACAACATTGTTTGTCTTGTGGCTCGTTCTTGTTTTCTTCGTTGGCCTGCTGATCGTCACGTGACTCGTTCACGACACTTTCGCTATTGTGTGGTTCGTTTTCAGGGCTAGCCGAAAGAATCGGCGAGGCACTGTTTTCGGAACTCATCGACAAAAGCTTTTCTAAATTCGGCCTCTCCGTTGTTGTCCGTTTTCTCCTTTGCTCCTCGATACCCTGATTTCGGGGCTGAGCTCTCCTGTCTGATTCATTAGAGTCAGCATAGTTTGGGTCAGCGGAGAGTAATGACATACTATTAACTTCTTTGTCGTCTCCTGAACGACTGTGTGCTAAGCTAAGCTCGTGGCCTGTTGTTGATCCCACTAGAGGTGTGTTCGCTTGTGTAAACAAATGCTCATTCCAAAGCATCTCCGTGACATGAGTTGTATCTTTTCGTATACTTTCATTGTTACCACTGTAATATCCCGTATCACTCTTGGGTATATAACATTGCTCGCTGGAGCCTTCGTTTTTGAAGTTTGCACCAATCTGTTCATTGTCAGAGTTTGAGAAACCGTCCAATCTGACGTGTGACGAGTTTTGACCCACGGTGGCGTCATAGTCCACAATGTTTACTTTCGTCAACGGGGTGGCTGAGTTGTTATTACAAAATCTTGTTTCGGTGTAGTTTGTCGTTTTTTTCTCCTCTGTTCGTTCGTCAGAGTCCGAAGACAGATCCCCCAACTGACTGTCCATGTTTTCATTAAATTGTGGCCGGCTATTATCACTATTATCAAACTTATCATCAGCGCTAATTCCACCTGAGCTGTCATTGTTTCGCTCGAAGTTGTCCCAAAAGCTATTAGACGAACCAGAACATTTTGCATCGCGCCGATGGAGCTCAAGATAAACGTTTAAAAAGTTCACAAGTTCGCCAGAATCGCCGTATAATTTCTCCGCCATTTTTATTGGTGTTTCTCCCGTGTTATCCGGTACCTCTAGCAAAGCGTTGCCCCCGTTCATGAAAATATTCGCTACGCAGCTTTTGCTCCCGCCGGACACTGCAGCATGGAGAAGATTTCTACCACTCAATTTAGTTTTGGTGCGAAGATTCATATTCCTTCCTGCACACGTTGCAAACATTAAATTGTGGTTCCCCTTCACTGCCCCGATGAATGCCGCAGTGAAGTTCCGCTCTTCGCGCGAAATCTGACTCATTTTCACCAAAGCTCTTTTTCTAACTTGTTTTGTGTCTCCTTTGTAACACGCTGAAATGAATTTCTGCCACCATTGTTGAACGGTTACTCTCAAAGTGCACCCGTCCGAAATGTCAATAGTTTCATCGTTGCCCAGCTCCTTGTCTTGAAGTTTCACAAGTTGTAAGTCGGATGGGATTCCGCAGAGAAGTTCGCAGTCAATCTTTATACATCCTACCGTTGTGCTGTCTTGTATGTGCATCTTCAGTGTCTTTCCCTCTGGTGTTAAAATGTCAATAACTCTGCTTCTGCCAAAGTTATCGCCGTTTGTGTCGTCGTTCATGTTGTTCATCTGGTCATGGCTGCCTACTTTGGAGCAAACCATTGATGTGGCTTAGTTGATTCCACCTCTCCAAGTACTCGCTCACCACCAAGGACCGTGAAAGAATTCTAATCGGTACAAATTGGCAGAGTTGTCAACTGAAGAACTAGCTATTCTATTGTCTTCCTGTGGAGTACACGTGCAAACTGTTAACCAGTTGAAATCTGAGATTCCGTCCACAATGTAGGTCTTTGACAGCCGATGATGTCTGCTAAACAACAGTTTAACAACTGTTCTAATAAAACTTTAAACACTATCGATTCAAAACAATGACAGATAAAGTAATAATAAGATACAGGTCCACCATCCGTGTGTATAAATTCCTTGAAATATTAAAGGATTTCCTTGATGTAGATCGTTGAGTCAGCTATAACAAATTGTGCGCGACGCTGTTTTTACCCTCTTTGTAATAAAAAAAAAAATACCCTTCTATTTTCAGACAATGACTGCAGGTCTTATTAAACTCAGTTTAATCAGTCGAAATCAGTGATTTCGACTGATTGATTCTGAATATTGCTTCAGTAGTTGAAAAAAACCCACCTGAGTTTCCTTGTCGAGCTAGTAGATATTGCGTCAGTACGGTTACATGAGCCGGCCTTTATCACACTTAACATGTATGTAGTAGTCGTTAAATTTCTTAAGAGGTAATTCCACTGATCCGCGACATTTATTCACAAGTTAAAATGAATTTAGCAGCTAATATAAAACGTATTGTTCCTTTTGTCAGGGCCTGTCAAGGAAACTGCCTATAAGTGACAAGCGTATTATGCTCAACTCATCAAGCGCCTATGATATTAAGTAAAGATTACGCACAAACTTAAAAGAAACAAGAATACTCTCTAAACATTACGAGCCTCCAGCGCTTGATTGCGCTACAGAAACGTGGGCGGGCATCTTGTAAACAACATTAAGAGCCTAACCTACCCACAGAAACATCCATTAGACTCAACTATTATGATAATCAGAGAGATTTACGTCTCCTTATTTTTAAGTTTTGTTTTCTCATTAGAATTCATTAATCCGTTTCCGACACGTCTTTAGCTAAGTCAGCACATGGCGTGTCTAAATGTTATCGCTTCTCTTGGTTTTTGACAAACATAACAACACATGCACTTGTGCTCATAACGAAGTGTAGGTCATACAATTAACTTCGCTTAAAGAAAGTAGAATACTGTAGTTTTAACGTTCATTCCCTCGCCATTATTAGGAGCGCATGACCGTAAATTTTTCCCGCCTTCTTTACAGAACAAGTGCAAATGTATCGTTGCGTAACAAGTGTATGATGTTGCTTCTTAAAAGCTTAATCAATTAGATTTTTCGGTTTTTGTTTGGTGTAGCTTCTTCTCTAGACATCTTTTGTCTGTCAAAACATCACTTGACCCAGTTACAAGAGGAGAAACCCATGAATTCTGATCACGTCCCAAACTGTTATTTTTACTCCAAAGGAATTCGCGTCATAAGTATTCATCAAATAAACCATTACAGAACTTGACGTGACCCAGGTCGTGACGTAAGAATAACCTCGAAAAACTCGTGAAACGACACTTAAGAATTTGTCTTTGCGTGAAACTGTTTATTCTTTTTCTTTTTTAAGAAATTCGATAGACTCAGCAATTCTCTTGCATCTAGGTGAAAAATTTTACTTCGATTCAAAAGGAGAATCTTGTCACAAGGTAGATAGTGGGCTCAACGAAGCACATCGAACTAAACAATTGATGTGTCTCCAAGTTTTGCCTTGAATAGTAAAAATGCAAATTTGACATGACATTAATCAAGAATAAAAATTGATTGTGAGAATGTTATTTGAGCTCGTTCAAATAGGGATACTCTCAATTAGTCGTGGGGTTTTGGAAAATATAACGCTTTACCAGCTAGTTTGATCACGAGTGCCACTTAAAACATCCTTGACACTGATTTGGGATCACAATTGTCACAAAACTAAAGGATTTAAACTACAGTAGTTTGCGGGTCATACAATTAGGTTTATTTAGATTAAATATCTTAAATTAGTTACACTCCAGCCAATAAGAACAAAGAGGATTTATAGATCAAGGACCCAATGAGAAGAGCGAGAAATAATAGACAAGCAATCTGTTTGAAGCGCGGGAAAACGCGGGTGACCGAGTTTGCAAAGGATCAAGTTTCATTAGGAGCCCAATGGGCTCCTGGTTTCGTGTGTTCGTGGTTGAGGGTGTTGTGCGAGTTTTATTTATTTGCTGCTTCCAGGAGTGGTTTGAGCAACTTAAGATTATTCGAGGGAAAGAAAAACACATTCAAACCTTCATTTTGCTCTGATATGAATCAATTAATTTATTTAATTCGATTTGAAATTAACCTTATCAATTCAGATCTACCCTTTGTAAATCACTTATAACAAGCTTGTCCTAAACTACAATTACCCTACGGTCTTCATAAATGTTCAACTGACACCTCAAATGTATTGTGTGCTGAGAAATAAATACACTTACCACAAACTTAATCACACTTCTCTTTTCCTCTTAGCTGAACAGCTTGATACGAAACCTAACCAGTCTAAGCTACCATTATCAATTGAAAAAACAATTTGTTAACGTTTTTAGCTATTTCTCGCGAAGCTTGAATCAGGTTCTATGAGCAATATTATCGTCGTTGGCCTAATTTTGTCACAAGTAACAACACCACTCTTGTGATGTGCTATGTCGGTGGCATCGCTAAATATCATCTCGAGGTGAACAGACTTTACTGAATATCAGGTGTGCCTTTAAATTTACAGTCAGACTGTTCCCTTTCCGTAACTGTAAGTAACTATTTTAAACGTAAGAAATCATCGGGAGACAAAAGTGAACCACCGTCACCTGCGAAAGCGAGAGAAACCTTATCTCAAACTAGAAAATATTCCCTTATGATCATTCATAGTGTGCATAAGAGTGAATTAGTTGTGCTGAGGAAAAAGAGACAGCAAAACCTAACAGATACATAATTACATTCAAACTTCGAACAGAAAACATTATGTTTACACTACTCTAAAGGATGGAGAAAATATTCCTATAGTGTGAGTTAGAAGCTACTTTAAACTTGTAAATCTATGTTTGTTTATTACTTGTCGAGTTGGTAGTGCCCGGTCCTCCACAGGTAAACTCTGAGTTCGGCCTAGCGGCTGTTTACAATTTTTCTTCATTTCATCTTCTTCTTCCCACTTCTTTTTCAAAAATTCGTGTTTTTGTTTTGCCATTTGCTCTCTTTTTTCTTCCATCAACAGAGCGTCGCGTTCCTTCTGCTGCAGCCATTTGTCGTACTTGGCTTGAGACATTCTCCTTCGCTGGTTCTTCTTGTCCTCTTGCTGTTTCTGCTGGTCTTCCAAACCTTTCTCCTTTTCTTTTTCCCTCTCATACTCTCGCTGCTTGTCCTCTAACCATTCTTCAAAAGATTTTCCCTTGAGCAATTTTGCTTGTTTCTCGTTTGTCTTAGCAGCCTCTTGAGCTTTTGCAAAGAGTCCCCTCAAGTGACTAAGATCCTTTTCGCTGAGCCATTGTTGGAAAGACTTCTTTCGTGAATCAAATATAGGCTCAGGGCTTACAGCTTGTAAGGATTCCTTCCTGACTGCAATCCATGCATTCCAGGGTCGATCCAGTCGTTCCTCTTCGTCCATATCTTTGTAACAGCGTAGATCTTTTAGGGAATCGGCTAGACTAACCTCACAAACAGACCTAAGACAAACAAAGAAAACAGCGGTCAGTTCTCTCTATCTATTTACAACATAGAGAGAAAAAAAAAAGAAAAATACCCATTCACTTGATTTTACAACTTACAACAAAAATAGTGGGGGAGATTTATTCAAAGGAAGAGACCCTCTCGCAGTCATGCTCATCAAGCAAGGAAAAACCTTTTGTCAGATAGACGTCTAGGTGTTCGGGTAGTAACTTGAAGACAGCTGCATCCCTCCCGGCTCGTATTGCTAGTTGAATATCCGCAGAAAGTATTTGTCAAGTGTTCAAGTTTGGTTTGGATATCTTGAGAACAATTTACTCAAGTGGTATGTGCTCTGTTTAAGCTGATCAATGTGTCTTTGTGAACCTTGACCAATGCGAGCTTTGTGAGAACAGACACCGTTCTAATTAGTAGCCACGACCAGTAAGGTCAATGGCTTTCCGTGAGATAAAAAGCTTTTTTTTCTCAGGGCGGTCTGGCTATAAAGAAGCTTACATATTTGTAGCTAAAAAGGTCCTCGAAAACTCGAACGTATGGCAAGATGAAACTTTACAAGATAAAACGTCTCAATTCCAACTTACTACACTAAGTTTATTTTAAGTTCTAAAAGTGCTACGGCCATTTTAAGTTCTATTTACAGCGTACATTCGCGTTATTCGCACGTCTGAGAGAGATCAGTTTTGTGCTTGCAGTTTACAGCAGACGAATAGATTAATGTTCCTTCGTCGAAATGGTTACAAAAAGGTCTGGCTTCTTCTGTCAGCGCCGTGCGATGCGGCTTGGGAAAGTAAAGAGCTTAAGTCGAAGTAATTAGATGAACGATAACACCTCACACTATCGTGTGATGTTATGTTTGCGCCGCCAAAAGTGGTCAACAATAGGCAAATGTCAACACAGTTTTGATTAGTTCCCACGGTTTTAAAGTCGCCTCTCATGGTGGCAAGGCGAGCTGTTCTGTTAAGACTTTGATACAAGACCATATAAGTACTTAACCAAAGGAAAGAAAACGTTTTCAAATGTGTTCCTGAATGCAAAGATGCTGAATGAAGAATTTGCTTCCATTCATATCTGCTGCATCAATGCTAAAGAGGATACAACTTATACTTTACATTTCCTCAATTGTTCCGTTACTTGATGACGTCATTTGACGGCTTTCCTTCCCTTCCACCTTAAAACCTCGGTTATTTCTCATCGTAATTCCTTCATATCAAACATTCCAGGATCGCTAATATTTTCCGAGCAATTTTTGAACGGTTTTTCCACTCAAAGTGTGGAAGCGTGGCGAATTTCTAGAGGTAAACTTTTCTGGCGCTAACTGAAGCATGGTTATTTGAATAATACTAATCAGTATTCAACACTCTTTTTGAATGAAAAAAAGATGTCTAAAAAAGATGAAATTGCTTCAAAGTTGTAAAAGTGCAGAAAATATATCCAAGAGATTCCTGTCTGTATCACAAAATGACCAACAAGTGCCTGATGTTCTGTGAAAGAAATGTTTTTGATTGCACATTTCCAGAAATTTTCAGACAGTTTGTTTACCATATCAGTTCTGACTGCCACACGAAATCTTAGAACATTTCCGTAATCTTAAAGTTTTGTCCTGAAGACCAGATTGCTGGATTTAGACGATAAGATCTTAGCGCTTCAAAAAAAAAACTGTAGGGCTTCCTGAAGGACATCCGGAATAGTACTTGTTAACATTTGTTAAACACAGCAAAGTACTTCAAGATGAAATCGTGCAATGTGCTTTTGATGGAGAAGTCGATAAACTCGAGCTTTCCGAAAGAACTAAGAAATCGATGGCAATACTATAATGACTAAGAAAGATGGTTTTTTTTTTCAGAGAGAGAGACTATCCTGTTTCGCGAAAGCAGGCAACAGTCATTTATGACCAAAGAAGTTTGCGTCAGTCCTTTGAGCAGCCAGGCCTAATGAGCGTGCATACGCCATCAATTTTTAAAACAAAAATTCTCGCTGTGACATTCAATCTCTTTGGTCTTGTGAACCAGATCACGTAAAAAGTGTTGCCTAAATCCCGTTTCTCCGTCAGAAACGCACCCGTAGTTACTCTTCAAGCTACTGAGAAGAATCAGTCGCCGTCCTAGCTTTCTTGTTTCAGGAATGCTAACATCCATTTTTAGTTCATTAGTTCATTAAACCCTTCATTGGGTTATCGCGAAAGCTTATTAACTTACAGTAAGAATTTCCTTTAGGGACACGTCTTGAAACAGGACCACCTATCCGAAGGTCCCCCACTAAGAAAATCTTACCTAATTTTTACCAGCGCTTGCCATATATCCGTTTGAACCAATGGCTTATCCACCGTGCTTCAACGGCTAGTCAACTGATTAACTGAACGCTGTATCCCAATTAATTTAAGCGATGCGTTAAAATGACATTCAAGTGAAAGCAAACTTAATCCTTGTCCACACAGTGGAATAACATGTAAAGGTTTAATAAGTGTAATGTGGATTCAGAAATCTGGCGCCGTCAGTCAATTCTACACCACATGTGACATTCATCTAAATACTTCTGCATACAATACTCGATTTTGCTTGCATTGGTTTTGTTTTCAGTGCACTGAGAACGACCTGAAATGACTACCCCTTGAGTGCTTTTGTTTCCGAAGAACATTTGACTTCTCTTGTTTAGACAAAGTGACCGCAATTTGGAGAACGTGGGGACAACTTTGGTCAAAGAAAAGACTTGAGAAAACAAATGAAGGTTTTAGTAATCCCGGATATTGTAGTCGATTTATCCGACCGCTTAACAAAATAACCGAGATAAACAAAATTATTCTGATCACGCTCTCTCATTGGTCCAGTTCCGGTTTTATATCGGAAAGGAAATATTGGTTAAGTCAAGAGAATATTCTCTTACTTAAGTCTGTTTGGTAGTCAGCCGGTTTGAAAAGGAAAAAATCATAATATTTAAGGTATCACCTCCCTTCCACCCTGAAAGGTAATGTTTATTTTTAAACGATATTTATGGTCTTTTCCTCGAGTTTTCTTTTCTTTCTCTCCAGTATTGACTTGCACAAGTGACAGACATGAGACAAGTTGACAATGTAATCATTTCTGACGAATGTGTTCTCAATAAGCTACAGTTCAGTGATTGTAGTTTTGTGAATGTCTCGGCGGATGGTCGGAAACGCGTCAAGTCAACTCATAAAAAAGCGTATTTTTTCCGGGTCATTCTAAGCCGGGTAAGCTGTTCGCAAATTAATTAACAACATCACCGATCGACGAAAACAGGACAGGCCAAGGAACAATAGTGCACGTCTCTTCAGGACCAAAATACCCAACAGTGTCGTGTTTACAAAAAAGAAAAATCGCGCGACATTGATTCTACAGTTAGCAAGCGTTGTGGAACTGTTCGCTGTGGTGTAGCACAACGATTTTATTAAAAAAAACTGACCAAGTAAAGTTTCTCTTAGGGCAAAAGAAACTGTGTTTTGGTTATAGACTTTGTATACTCTCATGACAGAAGTCTGTAGCCTAAAATAACTGATGATGAGAAGTTATTTTTTTCTTTTGCATGAAAATTAATGAGCTTCCCGCGTGGCTAAAATAACACATCCAATATTTCAATCTGTTCGAGTTCATTCAGGTTCTTTCAACTGGAACATAGGATTATTTGTGTTCGTTTATGAAATCAATAATCACGTTTTCGAATTAAAACTGTTTACAAGGATCCATTCGTACTTAAGAAGATCTTGAATTCTTGACTTGTTTGTGTTACAACGATTTGTGGGTGAAAATGAAACCACTTATTTGTGGTCTAAACGTAGGTAAAGGTCGTCATAGGGTGCTTTGAGAGATCACAAAATTTAATTAGGAACGAGTCCAGATAAATAGTCTCACACTCGTGAATTACAGAGAAAACAAATCATCAGACTGAAAAGAAAACTCTCTAAGGTTTTTCCTCATAAAAGAAAAACAGGTATTTAAACTAAAACTATCATAGCTTGTTCAACAAAAGCACTTTTGAGCGGGGAAAAAAATGGAAAGCTGGCTCGATAAGTTTATTATAGAGCTCTGGTATTTGTTTACAATCGTAGGTCGTGTTGTTTCAAGTACCGACGGCAAATTATAGAAGTTAAATTAAAACATCACTTAAGAACAACTCCAAAACACAACGGAAAAGCTTTAAATGTAACCAGTTACACGATTTAAAACAGTCTGGTTAAATTAACTTATGAATTGTTTTTTCAATAAAACTGATTATGTGAACGTGTAATCGAAATTACAACCTTAAACGCTCTGTTCTTTAGCGTTTATCTATCTCTTTGTTAATAAACTGGTTTCCTCTTATTCATTTGAATATGCTAAATCAAAAGAGCACGTTCGTGGAAAAAAGTTTGTGACAGCGGAGAAGTTAAGGTCAACTGGTGTTATATACATGAAACCAAAAACGTCACGTAGAGTGGCTCCACACAACCAGTTTCAACTTACAACTGATTTAAAGTTACGACATCTCTCAACTTTATTTTTATTTTTAAGCTCTTCGACCATGCAAATTTTTTAAAGAAAAATAACTGTTTTCTCTTAATTGCGTTCGTGTAGATTTCACAATCGGCAACACATAATCTTTAGACATATTGCACAAGCAAGAGTTTGTTTACTTGCCAAACTATTAATATTTATGAAGCAGCAGTAAGTCCGGATAAGAACTTCGCAGACGCTATAGAGCGTGCGAAGGTAACAAATTAAAGTCACTGTGTTGCAAGTCATGGAAACTGAGCTTGTTCTGTTAAGCTATATAGACGGTCATTCTAAAGGATGGCAATGTTCACATCCTCGTGCTTTGCTTGTGAGACTGTACAACAATTCCAATTTGGAAAAGGGTCAATAAAGAAAGGCAGAGGCCACTTATATATTGATAGTTAACGAGTATGTACCTACCTTGCCTTGCCTCTTCTGAACATTATAGGAGAGGCAGGTTGTCCCTTGATGTCTCCGTGTAGATCAGCTGTAATGGTCGTGCGAGGAAACCTGACACCATTCATCTTGTTCATAGCTGCTACCGGCTCAGAGCCGCGTCTTCGATCCAGCAGTGCTCTTGAAAATTTTGGCGAAACCGGAGCGGTACTGCGCGATGGCTTGAACAACAATCGTGGACTCTGTGGAGAACCTGGCGCGCTTTTCGAGACAAAATCATCGGTAGGTGACTCTTCCGTCGGATTCAATCGTCGATTCAACATGGGAGAATTCGGCCCGCTGTTAGTTCGTACAAGAGCTTGTTTCATTCTCCTAATTTGCAGGTTAGACGCGGATGAGCTCAGGACGTTTCCAAGGGCATGAGGTTTCTGTGTTTGGCCTTCTAAAGGAGGCAGATGATTTTCATTTACATCAGTTTCTTCCTCTTCCTCGAGGTAGATTTTCGGACAGCGCACAGTTCGCGCGCTCTTTGGCCTGTAAGGATCGGTTTCCTTAAACCGCCGTTGGAGCAAGTGTTGATTGGATTGCACATTAAGGGTTTGCGGTCTACTCGGCCTGTGGGAAATATTTGACGACTCGTCAGAGCTTTCTGAAGAACATGGACTGTGCACTTGTTGAAGGCTCCTCTCACACGTTGCCAAGCCATCTTGTTGATTCACTCCAACATGTGAATTTGGGGGCGTCACCTGTTCTGATTTCGAGTTCACAGCAAAACTCAATCCTTCGTCACACTCGGTGATCACTAATTCCTCGTCCTTGACACAAATTGGTTTAATCACATCTGCACTTCTGCTGTCACCATCATCTTGTCCTTCGCATGCGGAAATGTTTCCTCTTGATCGGTTTTTTTCTTCCACAGAGTCCTCTGACTCGCTTTCTTCGCTCAAATCTATTCCAGACTCGGCGGAATTGCGTTCCATTCGTTCGCCCTTTTCATTATACATGTATTTATAAAGTAATCTTTCCGTCTCGCTATAATTTAATCGTCGCGCAATATCAATCGGGGTCTCTCTATTAATGTCTATTAGTGTTAAGTTCTCCTTTGATGGTTTGATCAAATGTTTGGCCACAAACTCCACACAGTTTACCTTTCCACTTGCTGCAGCAGCGTGAAAAAGATTCCTACCCGCTCGAGTAGTTGTTTGATGGTCGCACTGAATGTCCATAGTTTGGAGCCGCTCCAGTAATTTTTCATGTCCACCGCAGCAAGCGATGTAAAAAGCGACAAACAATCGCTCCTCTTTACTGATCTGTTGCATAGGAAGCTTAGTTCTTATGCAAACGTTCTCGATATCATTGTTCAAGCAAACGCAAATAAACTTGTTCCACCACACAGGTACTTTAACGACAACGACAGCATCATTGCCCATCATCTGAATAGCTTCTGTGAGGGGCATCCAGTCGTTTAACTCCTGGTTTGGGTTTTTCAAAGCGCTGACTTGCTGTAGATTACATGGGATACCAAATTGCAACTCACAGGTGACCTTTAAGTCCCTGACAGTCGCGTTCCGTTTATCGCGGACTTCAATCTTTTCTGTTGATCCATTTGGTAACTCAATTGAAACCACTTGGTTATCTTCGGTCAAAGACTGCGCTCCCAGATGATTTGTCATTTTTTAGACTTTCTGACTTTGCACATATGCTCTTGACTGAAGAAATATTTCTTCTCTGACTTGAGTCAGCGGACACCAAACACCACACGACTTTATGACACAAGCGACTTTATATTTGTGATACACTCGTTGGCACTTGTTCTCCCTTTATACAACACCGCGCAACTGGTAACGTCACCGCATAGTGTGACAATGACATCAGTGAGGTTCCTCTTTGATTTCCGGTGGTCATTCTCTGCCACGATACTATTTATGGTGAAAGTTCATTCCACACTTCCGATCCAATGAACTCTAGCATGTCATTTTGAGTCTCTTCGTCAATTTTTTTCTGGATGTAGAACATGAAATTAAATATTTTGGTTTAACAATTCACAGCAATGGCCCTGGGTGCAGATTTTATTAAGACATTATTTACGTGAGTAATTAGCGATTACTGTTTACTAAAGACGTCACATGTTTATTGTTTCCTCTAATTTTTATAGTGAACCCCTCAGTAATCAGATATCAAGACATATCTGACACCAGAGTCACGAATAACACGAACATTGAGCGATTTCAGGTACACTTGGGTTCTCAGATGCTGCTTTCCTATATGGTCTTTCTAACTTTTTCCTCAGTAAATTTTTTCTTGTAGAGTCGTGGTTATTGCTTAATAGAGCAACCACAAATTAATTAACACCGCGTCGTCCTTCGCATTTGAGGTGATTTTGAGGTACACTTATTCATTCTCTCCGGATTTTCGAGACAAAAGGCTAATTTGAAGAAGATTAGAACTTTAAGGTTACTTTAATCCAGGTCTTAAGTGATTTTCTAAATATCCATTAAACGTGATACTCAGTAAAATAAGTAAATTAGACTCGCAGAATGTCACGTCAGACCTTTCAAAGTATGAAAGCGAAGAGTCATTTTTACACCTCACCTACAGTTTCCTTTATCTAAATCAGTTATTTAATCTGTAGGATTTACCAGATTCCGTCATTTTGTCGTTTCATGAATCCTCTGACGTCAAGACTTGAACAAGAAAGACATTCTCTCATGGGAAATATCAATGTAAGAGGTAAGGGAAGAGCTGAATTTGGGTGGGCATGTACTAAAATGTTAACCACAAATGAATTAATCCATCTTTCGCAATGAATTTTCACATATCTCAAACAGGGAAACAAATCTTCGCTCATTGCATCGAATTTTTCACAGTTCCACATAACTTAAGGAAAAGGACATGAACGTTCCTCAATCAAAGAACTCTTAAGAAAGAATTTCAGATTTTATTTTCCAATCAATTAGTTGTCAGTTTTTGGCTATTAGTTATATGTTAAACATACCAGAACGCCTTTTCATTATGAATTCAGTTTTAAATCCTGACATTCAAATCAACGTAAAATGTTTGGTTGTTTTTTAGAAACGAGAAAGACAGATCCACGGTCGAATCAACATGACAACATGACTCTCCGTAAACCTAATGGGGTCATCAGTTTTATTTTTGCAGTTGCTGTTGTTGTTATAGTTTTTTTTTCCTCGTTTCTCGTTTCGAAAATTTGTTTCTTAAATTATAAATTTAAAGTATTCCAGGCGTCCAGCTAGCAAAGGAGACGCAAAAGCAAAAAAATGATGCGCGTTTTTTTTTTTTTTTTTTTTTTTTTTTTTTCATTTTCGCACGACGAGATTAACGTTCCCCGTATAGAAACTAATCCCTGAGACAGTAAATTATTCTTTTAACAACAATCAACGGTTACATTTACCCGAATCGTGCTGGTCCTTTGAGCACAGATTCCGAACTTGATAACAACACGTTTAAGAAAAGCCAGTGATTACTACAGCTGACCCTCCTGGCTTCCTTTATTCCGGTTTCTTCGCTTATATTGGCTGTCCGGCTCTTGGTAGTGTCTGGGAAATATCAGGTGTTAGTGCATTCTTGAGAGAATTAATGAAGGGTTCAGCCCTGGATGGACTAACGAGGTCTTATTTGACTTTGTGAATAGCGGTGAAAAGGGCTGGAAAAAGATCAACTCAAGTTTTTGTATGAATTGGTTATTAGATTTCAAATGAATAACGGATGAAGTCGATTAGAGACAATTCCTGTTAGTTTTCGTTAAAAAAGAATTTCTCGAGGAAGATCGACTTGAGTCGACTACTCAGTGATTCAATATACCTTAGAGTTATTGAACTCTTTTCAATTAACATAAGAGGACAAAAACTTGGCAAAGAAGCAAAGCAAAACCTGGAATGCCAGCTTTGATTATCTAATAATCTGCCAGTGTCCTACCCAAATGCTTTAATCTGCTTGGCCACGCTACCTAAAAAAACCATGAGACTGTACAACAGTTTAATTTTGAACGACTAGTAGATTTACACTGAAACTAAATTTCTATGGGTGACATTTGATAAGGGCCTCGCCCTCACCACTATCGCGCGACAGGAATCGAGAATAAATTTTTTGTTGGTTTAAGAAATGAGGTTAAATAGAAAAAAATTATTATTTGATTATTGTGGGATTATTAGTTGTATTATCAGGATGCCATCCGCACAGTTTCTAGTAAATCAGTACCTCTACTGCGTTGATGCTCCATTGAGAAAGCATTACCTGTTGATGAATTATCTTCAGAGATATTTAAGAAGATATATAATGGATAAGCATTGGTAAACCTTATTTTCCAGGAGCTGCAAGCTTATAGTTCTGGTCGGAAATAGAAAACTAAAAACCGCTAACGAAAGATAATTGAGGAGCAGGAAATTTTTCTAAGATGTTTTTGGCTTTCTGACGCAGTTCCAGAGTTTGAATCTTTTGTAAGCCACTTGAAATAGAGACCTGTGTTTGTCGGCTGGAATTCCGTTTTGCATCTCTGCAAAACAAAAGGCAATAGAAAAAAACGTGATCGAAGAGAAATGAAGTGGAACAAATATTTACAAAGCCCTGGATGATGTTACTAATGTGCTTTACTAAAGCATTAACGCGAGCTATTCCGGCTATTTAAGAGATCATAAATGCTAACTTCTGCCTGTAAATTTGGTTTTGGTTTAAATCTAGTGGTTTTCCGGTCGGCTTTCTATAATTCGCGAATCAGTTTGAGAAGGTACTAGAAATTTGATTATTGTCTATTTTGTCAGTCGATAACAGTCAATATTGCCTCAGGGCTTGGTACAAGAAAGCTCCTCTTCTTCCAGAAGAAAACGTGCTTCAAGACAGGCACGCAATCTATCAACATGATTTAGCAGCTATTATTTGATTGTACAATGTTTTTAGGAATCCTCCTGCACCCATTTCGTGTTAAGAGGCCTTCGTCTCACAAGATGTCCCATTTGCTTTACGCCGTCATTAACAGACGGCTACAGACCTCCTTCGACCACGTTATTGTGTTTAAAGTATTTCCTGCTTTCCTACTCTGATTAATTTCCTTCTCCGCTTTTATCCTGTCTTATTTCCCACGCCATATTCCCCATCGAGTTTTCCGTGACCTTTCAGTTTTCATCAAAACGCTTTGCGCTGTTGTTAAAAATAGGTTTTAGTGAGAAGTTAATTTGCGCTCTTTCGTTGATGCTCGTTTATTTATTTTTTACCAAATTTTAATTCCCTTTAATGCATGCTTTATTGTGACTGGATTATAATGCACAATTACATGGTGGAATATAATTAGTGTGCTTTGTTAGACAAGTTGTACATGTAGATGTCATTATAGCAATATATCTTTTGTTTGAAGACTTTCGCTTCATGATATCACGTTTGGAAGAGACGAGCTTTCCTTAGGACATATAAGGTGTTGATTTGCTCTCGATCAGTGGCTGAAGTACTTCCGCTTTGATGGAGCTATGCCGTAAACTAAGACGCTGATGTAAGCAATATCAGCAGAACACCGGCGTTAAATGAACTTAAATGATAAAAATAAACGAAACTAATTGTTTGGGTTTGGGTGTCTCGTTTGCAATGTCCGTCGGAACCACTTGTAAAAAGGAAAGAACGTGGGAGAGTAGAAAAGTCAGTTTTGGAGATGAATCTGCAAAGTAAAATACCGTTTCTTTCATGTTTAACTGCTGAAACCACAAATTAAATGTGATAACGAGCTTTCTTTCAAAGACAATGCGTTGACTAGATGGGAGAGCTAACTCTTCTAATTGTAAACACGATGACGTCACTTTGGTAGAATCGTCACCCGCGGTGATTTGTGGATCTCGATCATCAGGTCATTCCAAACTTTCAAACCTATGGTAACAGCCAGTACATCTATCGTTGTTGACTCGCCAGTTTCAGAGAAGAAAAAGGGAGCTTGACTGAATATGGTTTAGTTACGACAATTCTATTTACAGTCTAGTAAGTATGAGTACTGAGCCTTCTAAAGTAAGAGTGGATAATTTATTTTCGCCATAGTCCATTTGTCGCCCCCATTTCAAGAGAGCGTTTTGCGCCTTTCAAGTTAAGAAGGATTGCTATTTGTCAGAATTTAGCATCCCACTAGTATGGAACTTAAAAAAGGTATTAAAAGAAGGATATACGCATGCAGCTGAAATCATTGTCGAGTTCGTTGTCTGTTAAATTTTCAAGTCATTAATTTATGGCAACGAAACTCTTCCCGCATTACTGCGGTACACGGTTAAATTATAAGAACCCATAGTGGCGTCTTAAATTTATAACTGAAGAACGTTAGGAGATGAAAGGTTATCGAGTTATTTGTTATTTTTAACTTGGTCAACTGAGAGACTTTTCAACCATGAACACTTTGGTTATTTGATTTGTTTTTATCTTAAGCTCGTAGATCAAACCGTCATGGGATATTTCAGGGTCATATTGTTAATGCAACTAGTTGCCGTTGTAAAGGTAAAATTGAAGTTTTTATAAACCTCTATTGGGTGAGAAGGCAAGTTTTTAAAGTCTTTAACTAAAGCTCTGTTTGCTGAGCGTTGGCTTCAGATAGGAAAATGTCTTAAATCAACTACGAGCATAAAACGACATTTTGGTTACCCCTACATCAACTCAAGTACCTGTAACAGTGTCGCTTAATTATGGATACAAACAGAAAAAAATTGAGAAGAAAATGAACGAGAATCTCTAGAATGATAAGATGGGAAGGGCCATTACCAAATCTCAAATTAAAGCAATCTTTACGTTCAAAATAGAAGAACTTAAATTGTTTTGTTAAATGAAAAAAATTGTCCGCCAAAATGGCATTGGGAACTTTTCCCTTAAAATCGCTGGGTTTTAATTCACCAAGTTACACCTGTTCATACCTGCTGACTTACCCGCCTCTCGTTTCCTTTGGGCGCTTTCAAAACACTTTTGCCAGGGAAAATAGTGTGGATTGCTTACACTAGCCACGTGCCAAAATGTGTACCCCGTGAAGATTTCATTTTCAGTTCTACAAATAAGCTTAATTTCAACCAAAAGGGATTGACTGGGAGCTCGCCAATGAACCAAAAATTAACTCTATTTTGTATCAATTGCAGTGAGAATAAATTTTAAAACGAAAGTGTGATCCAGTGTTTCAATCTATATTTGATCTTGATACTCGTCCAAGATAAATCTTGTCAACGCCATGATTATCTTTTAGCTTGTTCACATTCCGAGGGAACAATGGCCGAGGCTTGGCGACCAAATAACCCAGGATATTCTGGATTCAATTCAAACATTTGATCTTCTTAACCAAGAACTCTCCATGGGATTTTTTGTAAGAGGAGTCGCGGGCCCCCAGGGACCTCCAGGAGCAAAAGGTCCCCTTGGTAGTTCCGGAATCACTGGATCAGCTGGCATGCCAGGATGGCCTGGTCCCCCAGGGCAGCATGGCCAGGTTGGGTTACCAGGACCACCCGGACCTCCAGGGCCACAGGGGCCCCCAGGGGCAAAAGGAGGAATGGGATTCGGAGGCTTGCCAGGACAGGTCGGAATGCCCGGAGTCCCTGGGCATCCAATGTGGAAGATAACAACGGATATTTATACTCCGCTATATACAGTGCAAACGGTAAGTGCAGCAAGATTGATAATCTTACGGACATGGCAGACAGTCTCTTAAGGTAGGTAATTTAGTGTTAACAACTGAGTTGAAAACGTAAATTAGCCACCGTAAAGGGTAGAAAAGCTGACGTTTCGAGCGTTAGCCCTTCCATCAATCGCTCTGACGAAGGGCTAATGCTCGAAACGTCAGCTTTTCTACCCTTTACGGTGGTTAATTTACGTTTTCAACTCAGTTGTTAACACTGAATTACCTGCTATACTCTCCCACCGACGCAGCACCACAGTTTCTTTGGAAACTTACCCCTTTAGTCACTTAAGGTACTTCTATTCACATATAGCAGTAACGTACGAAATATTTGCATTGCTGTTAAGATGACAGACATAAAGTTTCTAAGAACACAGTAGTGAATAGCCGTCTAGGGAATTCTGGTGAAGATTAATTTATGAAAAGTTTATCAGCGTTCGATTGGAAAATTGTGCCGACCGCGTTGCACCCGAACTCCCATTTTATCACTGAATTGAAGTTCTCTGGCAGCTTAATTGTTATTAACTAGTGTCTATTCTTAAAGAACCAAAACGGAAAATTTTTAAAGAGTGGGAGAAATAACAGTTTTGTTGACCTGACTTCGCAGAACGTGACCGTCATGTGTGTTGGCGACCGTGCGTTATTACAATGCAGTCCTGGCAAACGAGTGAAAGTAACTCAGGCTCGGTGGGGAGAGGGTAACTCTGTGACGTGCACCAGCTCTGCACCTGCCGATTCATCTACCTCTACACCTAACACAAATGTCCCAGATCCAAGTCATGTGACCGACCAAATAAGGAAACGCTGCGCAAAACAACAACATTGCGATGTGCAGGCAAGTGCGCCATTCTTTCAGAGTGTTCCGAGCTCGTCTAAGTATCTAAAGGTGTGGCATGAATGTATTCCTGATGTCTCAGGGGTCATTTTACCAACACGGACCGCAAGAAGGGAGAGAATTGACCCCAATATCCAAAAGAGAGATTTCTTTCTTCGATCAGGTGAAAAAAAAGGCACGGGGTCTGAACCTGTCAAGTGGTACGCTGAAGGCTTGGTAACTAGTGCCTCTCGCAATCTCAGTGGTGGCAGTGTAAAAGAAAATGCGCACAGGGGCAAAAGCAACGAGCAAATCTCATCCAGAAGGAACGAATCAGCAGCAGAGAAGGAAAAGAGAAGTGAGGGTAGCTACAAGAGCGCCCAGTTAGCCCAGGTGTTGGACGAATTGATGCGACCACCTTCTGTATACACATAACTTAAAGATTAAAAAAGCGATTCGGTTCGATTACTTAGCCATTGTTGTAAGAACGAATTGCTCCAGATACATCGATGAGCTAGCTAAAAACGCGCACTAAAATAACATTTAAGAAACATTCCGCGTGGTTGGTGCTTTCATTGCTGTATGAATGCCTAGCCATAGTGTAATCTCTAGCCTAGTTGTCGCATAGTCTCTATGTGTCAAGCTTAGGCACATTTGCACATGTAACTATTTACTATTTAACCCACACCAAGCTGTATGGAATTAAAATATTCCGGCAAAATATTCGTTTCAAAGGCCTATCAGTCATTGCACTGTGCAGAGTAGTTAAAAATCAAGTGTTTCCATTCTGTGGTATACTCTGTATAGTTGGGGGGCAATCTCGTACCCAGATCCTACCGTGTAAGTGTAACAGAAATGTAACAACCGCTTGGCCTTAAAAGGTCTGGCTACGAGACTCGTGGAAGGGTACCCCTACTCCTACCATGGGAGTTAGTGCACTCAGGATTCTGTCTTACACCTCATTACTTATCTTTAGCGTGATCCTTACAAATAATGGTTTGGTAGAATATCACGAAGCCTTTAAATGTAATGTTACATGGTCGATGTTGCTCCATCGCTCAACTTCCATACCTGTTTCAAGTGACGATAAGAGCAAATCCCTCCAATGATCTACTCGTACATTATAGGCTGGTACTGATGATGGATAGATCTGCTAAGCTTTCATTATGGCTTGAAACCTTCGATATGGCGTTATTTATTTTGTCTTTTTTTAAGGGAGCGCTTAACTCAGCCGCCAAAAAGTGGGCGGACTTTCTAAAAAAAGGTTATGTACCGTGCTGAGCCTGACTCCGGCTGAAAATCAATTTAAGTGCTACATCGTCGAAAAATCTGAAATTGATTCATTTTTAATTTTCGTAACAAACTGATAAACGTTATGGTATCGTTACCTCTAAGACCTTCACATGCGATGGCTCGATAAGTATACAGCCTATTGAAAGCGAATACTGGATCTGGCCAAACATTTCTGCAGCCGTTTAAGTTGACTGACTCAGTACACTATTACAGAAGGTTTGAGTTGGTTATTTTCCCAGAACAGTGACGCCAACTTTTCTGAACTGTCATCTGTATAAATTTGTTTCCTATTTGAAAAAAAGAGAAAGAGCCTCAAATTCATCACTTCATTGTTTGCATAAGAATTTGGTATTCCTATTTGCCAAGACAGTTGTCGAGACTAGACAGGCTATTGTTTCCAATCTCTTGGTGCTCCCTCAGAATGGGAAGGTCTGACACTAGTCCCAGTACCTACACGCGTAGCGTGGCGGGAAGATAGTGAAAGTAACGAACCATTGTGTTTTCGGATAGATCCTTCGTTTTTAACCAAGACTTTGGAGATCTACAGACAGTAGAACTCCAACGGCATGATTGGTTCAAGTGAGTAAAATGATAATTTAAAGTTTGGACATGGCTTCCATGTAACACGGTGTGGATTTTCTCTTACATGTATATCTAGAAGCCATGATAGAACTGTCGTCGCTCAAACAAGAACTAAAATGCTGGGAAAATATGTTTGAACGAACCCATGGCCGTAAGCCCAGCAAGGTATGATGAATTTGATTTCTACACTCGTTACTGTTGTGCAAATAATTGGCTGATTTCCTTACGAACGCGAGGTATTTATGTACGAGAGCGTCGGCAATTTCAAAGCAATTGTTTGTTTTGCAGTCTATTTCAACACGAACTTTCACTCGATTATGGCATTTTCCTTGCCTTGTTCCCTTTGATTAAGAATACCAATTTTGTTCTTTTATACAGGATGATATCAGCACTGGTTCAGAAGAAATACGAGGTACATTTTGTATGATTTAAGCTTTTGTAGATGTAAATAAACTCGCAGTTAATTGGGAGTATAGTGTACAGTTGGTTTCATTTTACCATAGACAACAGTGAGGTAGCTTTTGAAGCTCATCAAATAAGTCAGTTATTTCTGAAAAGTAACAAAACAGGAGTTTCTTACCTATATCTCCTTAATCTAGTTCCTCTAAGAGTATTACAAAACTGTCTACTCTTTTTTGTTTGAATGTTTTGTTTTACCAGCTCATTATTTTAAAACCTTCAATTTATTTAGGTTCATGTATTTGGATGGGGCTGTGTAAAATTAAGGATGAATATCACTTTTGTTTGCAGGAATTGTAGGAATGCTAGGCAAAAGGGATTTCTGCAACTTCTGAAAACCCAGTGATATTCATTCTTAATTTAACATGAAAACTTTGATTACTGATTTTAATTAAATAAAAAGGTAAAAAGTCACATTGTTGCACAATTTTGTAGGAAGCCATTTCAGTGATCAGTTATTGTCAATGAACTGTAGAACATGCAAATCAGCTGAATGAAAATTTACTTTTGTACAACTATGCAAAAGCAATGAAACTGACTCTGCTAAAAATATATTTGTCAAGACATCACTGATGAAAGTTGAGCCTTTTTTGATTATTTCAATTTCAAGTAATTTTGCACTTGTTATTTACCAAAATTAGCAAAAAGTCTTTTCTCTCTCTCTCTCTTTGATAATCAGCATTTAGTAATTTTGTCCTGTGAATTACAAAGCTCATAAATGTTGTCAATGTAAAAGTAATGTTGTACCTTTCAAAAATAGAATAGGTGATAATAATTCTATTACATGCAGTTTATGTATGAAGGGGAGAAATATAATGTCAAGACTGTGTTATCTGTCCCAGTCTTTATGTATCACAAAGTTTGAGTCTGACAAATCTTGGAATCATCCTGATCCTCATCAAACAGCGGCCAAATAAACTTGCTTTGTGATGAGAGGATGCCTTAATATGGTCTCTACCTTTATTTCTCGCAGAGTCTTACAAAAGATACAGAACACTGAAAGAATCATTGTTGAAGAGAGAGACTGTGGAATGCCAACAGGTGTTTAACTATTGAGACTGTTTTCAGAGAATTTGTTGTTACATATTATTTTTAGATGATTTGTTAACCTGATGTAAAGTAGTTTTAGAGTTTTGATTTAAAATTTAAAATTAATTTTAGTTGGCAAATTCAATTTAGCTTTTTCTGCTTTAGGAGTGGCTCAGTGAAGAAATACATGTAATGATTAAGCTTGGCTCAAGTTATGTTTGCTTATAGCATAAGACCTTTGCAATAAGAAAGAAGACCTACAAGGCTAACTATGGCAAAAACAAGATGCTTTTTGGGTGAAAATGAATACATGCACAAATATAATCAAGTTACATTTAAAACTGTTGCAAACACACAATTGCTAAGTCTTTTCCCAATGTTATCTAAGGAGTTCACTCTCTGTGTTTTTAAGGACATCATTCATTTTTCATCTGTTGTCTCTGACTGAATGATTCCAGGATGACAGTGAGGAAGTTTTTGGCAAGAATTTAAACAAGAAAAAGGCAGATTTAAAGCTTTCTACAATTCCATTCCATGGAAAGGAATGGGCTGACATTACACCCGTCAGATTATGTCATGGACAGAGGCCTAAGAAAAGAGCTGATAAATCACCAACAAAAGAAAAAGCAACAGAGGATAATGTAGATAAGGTTTGTTGGATCACTTTACATCTTGACCATAAAATCAATGTGTAGTACTACTAAATCATTAAACAACATTTTAATGAGTTTCTTATGCTATCAATATGATTTCTGCACAAATGAAACTTGTCAGCCCTCATTACAACTTTAAAGGTGAAATGTTCCATGCATTTGGCTATTTGGATGTTTTTGTTAATGTAGATATTTATTGGTCTATTATTTTGCACTTTTCAGGATGTTTTAGATGTCAAACAATGTGAAAGTACAGAGAAAGAGGCAACCGCATTGATAAATTTGGAAAGTAACTTGCAAGATGTTAGAGTGGTCGATACCTCAGAGCATACTTTGAAGTCTTTAACACAGAAAAGAACTGGGTAAATAATTTGTTTATCTCATTTCAAGTTTTGATCTGGGTAATTGACTGACATTCAGGATTTACACATAATGTTTTGTTGATGAACTTAAATTTATTATTATGTGCAGTTCAAGCTTCCTGCTTCCTAATCATCAATCAAGAAATGTGAGATTCAAGAAAAGGGGAGCAATTTCCTCAGCATGGCTTCAAAAATGTAAACCTGAGTTGCCCCCAAATGAAGACCATCAAGTGTTGAACTTGGATGAATTACAAGAGAATTTGTTTGAATCAGAAAACATTCCCTCCAATGAGCAAGCAAACATTGCTATAGAAAAGGTCTTGGATAAAGAAAACTGTACTTTTGCCAGACAAAATGAAATAAATGTTGGTTCTCTTTCTGAGATTGATCTGGAAACTCAAAAGAATGCGGGTGTTGCAAAAGATAGCATAGGAAGGAAGATGTCTCCTGGAACAGGATTTAAGGCAGACAAGAAGTGGAGTGTTCAGGAGAGTAGTAACAAGGTGGATGATAAGACTGTTGCATCAAAATACAAAGAAAGGGAAAATAAAACACACCCAAATGCAAAACAACATTTGAAGGTCAGGGATTTGCCTCAGACATCACAGGAAAAATGTCTGACTGGGTCTGTATCTGTTGCTGATCCTTTTGAGTCAGATCAGATGGGAATGAAAACTGATCTACTAGAAAGAACTGGGGAAGCTTCTCAAGAAATTTCAAACCATAAAAGAAAGGCTGATGAAAGAACCTTTGAATTGGAGAAACCTCAAAAGAAGTTAAGATGTGAAAATGATCATGAAGAACAAGTCCATGAAGAAAGCAAATGGTAATTTTGTACACAATTTTTTGACATGCGCAACATCTATAATGAAGGTTGCATTTTCTTTTTTATTATATTCCTTCTATTGAAGATAAAGTCTGTAGCTTTGCAGCAAATTTAGATTTTACACATCTGAAAAATTCTGTCAACAAGTCAGTGATTTCCTAAAGCACACTTGTATTCAAGAAAATATTGCAATGGGTCAGAAAAATGTAAATCTCTCTACTGTAAGTCTCTCTATAGTAGTATAGCAACTCAATTGGAATAATGAATTGGTATTGCAGGGAAGACGAAGAGAAGAAGAATCTGTCAAACATAGCAGCTGAACCAGAGCTGCCACTCAGAACTGCTAAAGTAAAGTAGGTTGTGCTCTTCTTTAAGATAATTTTAAGTTTTCTTTCTTTCCCAAGAGGGGTGCAACATTAGTTGAGATAGAGGAATGGATTTTGGGAATTTAAATGCTTTGTAGCAAAAGCCTGCCATTTCCCC